AAAAAAAAAAAAAAAAAAAAGGGGGGGTTTCGTGGCCTGGGCTTTCACCCAAACCCAAGTCTATTTTTTTTCATGAATTTGGGAAGTGAACTTTCAGATGGAAGATTGTTTGAGCTCCCTCTGCTCCAGTCATTATACCTTTCAAATAAATTTTTTTAAAGGAATAAGTGCCAGCATTGTGGTGCTGCTGGTTAAGCAGTAGCCTGCAACAGCAGCATCCCATGTGAGTGCCACTTCTAGTGCCAGATGCTCTACTTGGAATCCAGCTCCCTGCTAATGTGCTTTGAAAGCAGCAAAAGATGGTGGGAGTTCCTGGGATCTTGCTGCCCACATGAGAAATCCAGTTGGAGTTCCAGGCTCCCGCCTTTGGCCTGGCCCAGCCCTGGCTGTTGTAGCCATTTCCCCAGTCTCTGTGGTTCTGCCTTTCAAATGAAAAAAGTGCTTTTTAAAAGAAATAAAGCATTGATAACACGTTACAGTATGGCTATATAGACGAGAAGTGGGCAGTTAGGCTACTTGTTAAGACACCCATGTTCCATATCAGAGTGCCTTTTATATGAGACACCAAGACCCCACATCAACACATTTACCAGCCTCTCTTCTGGGCACTTTCAAGCAGTCTTCATCTCTGATTTCCAGCTTTGGCTCCTAACTCCAGTTTCCCACTGTGTGGACCCTGAGAGGCAGTGGTTGGTGATTCAAGTAACTGGGCTTTTGCCATCCACAGTGGAGTCCTGGATTGTGTTCCTGGATCGTGACTCTGACCTTTACCCCCCCAAGCTGTTGCAGATATTTGGAGAGTGAACCAGTGGATGGGAACTCGCTCACTCTCAAATAAACCTTAAAACATTATAGTTGCCAGCACCATAGCTCCCTAGGCTAATCGTCTGCCTGCGGCACCGGCACACCGGGTTCTAGTCCCGGTCGGGGCGCTGGATTCTGTCCCGGTTGCCCCTCTTCCAGGCCAGCTCTCTGCTGTGGCCAGGGAGTGCAGTGGAGGATGGCCCAAGTACTTGGGCCCTGTACCCCATGGGAGATCAGAAGCACCTGGTTCCTGGCTTTGGATCAGCACGGTGCGCTGGCCACAGTGCGGCGGCCATTGGAGGGTGAACCAATGGCAAAGGAAGACCTTTCTCTCTATCTCTCTCACTGTCCACTCTGTCAAAAAAAAAAAAAATGGCAACTCCATAGACACAGAAAGTGTCTGTGGGACTTAGTACCTGGGACTTATTGTTAATGCATTTGGGGTTTCTTTTGGGAGAAATAAAATGTTCTGGAATTAGACAGTGGTGATCTTCATAAACATACTGAATACTAAAAACCACTGAATCTTGCTGGCATTATGGTATGTGGCTTTTTATTTTTTAAAACATTTTATTCCTTTGAAAGGCACAGTTGGAAGGAGAGAGATCTTTCATCTGGTAGTTCACTCCCCATATAGTCGCAGTAGTCAGGGTTGGGCCAGGCAAAAGCCAGGAGAAAGGAGCTTCATCCTGGTCTCCCACATGGATTTAGGAGCCTATATGGGATGCCGACATTGTAGGTAGCATCTTAACCCCATGCTACAGTGCTGTACAGTTTTCATGTAACGAAACAAACAAAAAAGCAGAAATTCACATGCAAAAATTCACAGCCTTACCAGTAGGTAATGATAGAAAAACAAGGGCCAGATTCTATTAATCCCTATTTATCAGTGAAAACTTTTAATGATACACACTGCTTTGGGCATGATTTTTTTAAAAAGATTTATTTGAAATTCAGTTATACAGAAAAAGGTGGAGACAAAGAGCTTCCATTTGCTGGTTCACTCCCCAAATATCTGCAGTGGCTGAGGCTTAGCCATGCCAAAGCCAGGAGCCAGGTGTTTCTTTCGGATCTCCCATGTGGATGTGAGGGACCCAAGTACTTGGGCCATCTTCAGCTGCTTTATCAAGCACATTAGCAGGGAGCTGGATTCGAAGTGGAGCAGCTGGGACTCAAACTGGTGCCCACAATGCTGGCCCCAGGCAAGAATTTTTAAAAGATCTTTCTGAAAGATGCTATGGCCAGCTGTAGCAAGCACTATTAGATATTTCACATGCAGAAACCACTTCAGGAATAATACAGGAGAAAAAAATATCTAGGGAGATTGTAGAAGATACACACAAAGCTGTTCTTGGAAACCTTATGACAAAAGAAGATTGGGGCCAGCGCCACAGCTCACTAGGCTAATCCTCCGCCTTGCAGCACCAGCACACCGGGTTCTAGTCCCGGTCAGGGCACCGGATTCTGTCCTGGTTGCCCCTCTTCCAGGCCAGCTCTCTGCTGTGGCCAGGGAGTGCAGTGGAGGATGGCCCAAGTGCTTGGGCCCTGCACCCCATGGGAGACCAGGATAAGTACCTGACTCCTGCCATTGGATCAGTGTGGTGCGCCGGCCGCAGTGCGCCAGCCGCGGCGGCCATTGGAGGGTGAACCAATGGCAAAAGGAAGACCTTTCTCTCTGTCTCTCTCACTGTTCACTCTGCCTGTCAAAAAAAAAAAAAAAAAAGAGGATTGGGAGTAACAACTAACCAAAAGGAACAGTGAAGCAATGGGGCACATGCGTTTTGTCAGCCTGTGGGTTCCACATGCAGAATAAAGTGCCATGAAGAAAGCAGAGCGTGTGTGCATGCTGTAGTCAAGTCCATGGAGAGCCCATGAGGCTGAGACTCCAGTGGTGAGAGTAGGAAGAGGAGTTGGGACAGGATCTATTTGATTCTCTTTTTCCTGTTTATTATCCTTTCTCTTTCCATCTCTCAGTAGAGCATGATGGAGGGGATATGTGTGAACCAGAGCACCTGAGATCCCGCAGATTTTCTGAGTCAAACCGTGCCAGGTTACTCTGTCTCTTGGAATTTTGTTGAGTGCTCTTCCTGCAGCCCCATCTCTTTGATGGTATTTATTCAGCAGGAAGATAGGATGCATCCCACAGTGATCAACCGAGTGACAAATTATGACCAAATTCTATAATCGATGTATTCACGAGGTCCAGCCAGTTCTCTTTAAGAATTTGTTTATTAATCCAAGCACACAGATACTCTTATTACAGTACAGTCTGTTTGTATTTTATCTTGGCATCCCATGTCTTCACAGTGGGCAGATTCAGTATGAGCACACGTCCTTGCCTGAGGTTCTGAGGGAAGATAAGGGCAGGATGTTTTTTTGCCTCAGGAGCATCTGGGAGTGCTAAATCACACAAGGGTTATTACACAACAGTCGACACTTCCTTCTCTGAAATCCACTTCATGTTGCCAGCACGTGTGTTCTCTTCACCCTTGTTGACCAACATTTCCGTCCCTCACCAGCCTCTGCTATAATTTGGTGAGCTCTTTGGTTTCATTACATTCCATGTGGCGCCCAGCACCCAGGAGGTGTTCACTAAGGACTGTTGGCTGTGTAAATGCAAGACACAGGCCAGGAACCAGATGATACAGTGAGGCATTCAGCGAAGTCTCTGGTCACCCACCGGACAGATGGTCAGAGGACCCATGTTCTTCCCCCTATCATGTGCCCCGGGGCTAAAGATAGGTTGAAGGGGCCCAGAAGAAGAGAAGCTGGTGAATGTGTACATGTGGGATCTGGCTGTCACGTTGTAAAAGGAAATGTTTCTAGTCTTGTAGTCTAGGAAGATGCCCACACGCCTGGGCAGCTCCCTCATCCACAGGCGGGTTGGAGGGAAGGTGGAGACCCGGTACTCATTTTGCTTCATCATTACAACCCAGTAGCCATTCTCTGGTGACAGAATCATGCTCCCCTTCCTGCTCATGGATGCCTTGCAGACGCCCAGGATCCACGCTGTCTTGTCTCCAACCTCCACTTCCCAGTAATGGCGGCCAGAAAGGAAGCTGGGAGAGCCCAGGGCTATAATGCAGCTGTCGAATCTCTCTGGTTCCTCGGGTAGTCGTTCCCACTTGTTTCCGAGTCTCATGCTCTTCAGATCATCAGAGAAGATGAGGTTGGGGTGGGAGGTTTCTGCGTCCAGGGTCACATTCACTGCAGACAGAATTGGGAAACTAGCTTGGGGTCCACAGGCCACATTCCCCCAGGGCTCTCCCTACCTCCAGCACACAAAGACAGGACTGCTCTTCTAGAATGTACTGGGGATACACAAGGATGTGGCAAGCCAAGCCTGCTTGTCTTGATCTGTGTACTTACCGGCATGTGCCTGAGCACTGATCAGTTCTGGAACTACAGAGAAAAAAGAATGGGGGAAAAGTCCTGATCAGTCCTGTCCGGGGGGACTAAGTGACCCTTCCCCCATGGCAAGGAGAGACAAGGAGGCCGCTGCTGAGGGCCTTGCATCTTTGCTTGAGTACAGCACCCAGGCCGGCCTTGGAGACTCTGGTATAAGAAGGTAACAGCCATCAAGGCAGGCACAGAGGACTACACGGGATCCTGTTTGGCTTGCCATGCCCTTTATCCCCTGTTCCAAAGAGTGCCCTGACACCAGCAGTGTAAGGGAATATCACAGTAACCCCTGGCCAGGACAGGACTGCACTCACCGTTGAATGTTTCCATTTCTGAACGCAGTGTTTCTAAAAAGGGGAAAAGAGAAGCTCAAGTTAAACCACACAGATCTGCACAGACTGGGAAGAAGCTGAAATGCACGGGAGATGAGGAAGGGAAGTGAGAGGCTCTGGGCTACGTGGATCCCAGGGAGGAACTGGGCAGGTGCTGCGCATCTTGCCCTGTGCCCACCTACCTGAGAAGCTCTCCATGCTCTTCTCTATAAACTCGGATTTCTGGTAGAGCAGCTGGATCTTTTCTTTCACCTCGGGAGGAGTGGCCCACGGCTCAGGAACAGTCACGGCCTTGGCCCTAAAGATGAGACTGTTGGCCAGAGAGAATTGGAGCAAGAAGGTGGCCCAATTCCCTGTGAGCTGGAAGGGAGGAACGGTGTCCACAGAGCACACCAGCCCAGCCTGGGATCTGCAAAGCAGAGTCCTCCCTGGACTCAGAAGTCTAAAGAGTGCTCCTCAACTTGGGTCACAGATTAACATCTACTGAGGAATGAGTTTTAATAATGGCCTTAAAGTGTTATTGATATTATCTGTTAGAATTATCTATGTTGAATTATTTATACTTTGTCTTTTTTTGTTCTATTAAAATAAAAATGACAATGAGAAAACAAACCATAATGAAACACTACTTTACACCCATTAGGTTGGTTATCATAGAAATAACAACTGATAATAACAAGTGCTGGCAAAGATGTAGAGAGATTGGAACCCTGTGCATTGCTGGTGAGAATGTGAAACGAGGCAGCCGCTGTGGGAAACAACATGTAGTTCCTCAAAAGATCAAACAGAACTACTGTATGATGCAGCAGTTCCACTTCTGGGCATATACCGAAATAACTGGAAGCAGCATGCCAAACATGTATTTGTACCCATGTGTATAGCACATTATCCATAATAGCAAAAGGTCCAAGCAATCCAAATGCCCATCAACTGATGAATGGATAAGCAAAATGTGGTATAGACACATTAGAATATTATTCAGCTACAAAAGGAAAAGAAATTCTGACACAAGCGACAACACGGATGGAACGTGAGGACCCTGAAGGACAATGATTGTGTGAAGTCCCTGGAGCAGTCATATTCACAGAGATGGAAAGTAGACTGGTGGCTGGTGGGATGGGGGAGAGGAGAGTGGGGTGGTGTTTACTGGGGCCAGAGTGCGGGAAGGTGGGAAAGTTCTGGAGATGGAGGGATGTCGCGACTGCACCACAGTACTGAGTACACTCCACACACACGCTGAACTATCTAAAAATGATCAGTGGCAGTTTCCTGCTAGGCATGTTTTACCACTCTCTCTCCTCTACCTCCTAGCAAAATGCTTTAAAAGCCCACTAACCCCGGGGTCCCACCCCTAGAGCTCTGTGCCATGATTGCCGATGGCAAGTGAATACCACCCTACCCATCACCATCTAGCAGTTGCTTTGGAAGTCCCCTGTACATTATAATGGTGTGGCGGCTTGGCAGCACTGTCCCCTGGCATGGTGTGGTGGCCCAGGCATCAGGACTTTGTAAAGTTCCCCAGGTACCCTAATGTGCAGCCTCGTTCCTTCCCTCCTACCCCCACCTGCTGGGCTTGGCCCAGCCCAGCCCACACCAAAGACTCCTGGGAAGTGCTGCCTTCAGTGAGGCCAAAGGCAACTCTACAGAGGCAGCTGTCAGGAGAGCCACATGGAAGCCCCGTCTTCCACCCCAGACCTCCCCTTCCCCTGCACAAATCCAGATAGGCTCCAGGAAGCTGAAAGGAAAGGGAGGAGTCTGGAGCCACAGACCCAGGGCTTGGGAATAGCTCCCCCAAATGCTTGCTGCAGAGACACCCAAGGGGACACAAGACCTCTCTGTACCTGTGCAAGGTGACTCCGATGTCCTAGGAGAGAAAAGAGGGCAGCTGTCAGTTACCAGTCTCCTGGAGGCCGTGCTGACCCCTGGGCTCCTGGACTTCTAGGTTGCTCCTGCCCTTACAGGAATCCCAACCCTGGGCTGGCAGTGAAACTGGAGTGCCTCTCCTTGAGTCTTCGTGGTCTCCTGAGACTTCAGCCCTGCCAGTCTGAAGCTGCAGCTGCACCCCAGCCCTCTAACCTCTTCTGGACAACGCCAGAGACCCCCGGGTCCACCTCATGCTCAGGAGAGACCTCTTTTTTTTTAATTTAAAAAAAAATTTTTTTTGACAGGCAGAGTGGACAATAAGAGAAAGAGAGACAGAGAGAAAGGTCTTCCTTTTGCCGTTGATTCACCCTCCAATGGCCGCTGTGGCCGGCGCGCTGCGGCCGGCGCACCGCGCTGATCCGATGGCAGGAGCCAGGTACTTATCCTGGTCTCTCATGGGGTGCAGGGCCCAAGCACTTGGGCCATCCTCCACTGCACTCCCTGGCCACAGCAGAGAGCTGGCCTGGAAGAGGGGCAACCAGGACAGAATCCGGTGCCCCGACAGGGACTAGAACCCGGTGTGCTGGCGCTGCAAGGCGGAGGATTAGCCTATTGAGCCGCGGCACCAGCCAGGAGAGACCTCTTCAAAAGGGTCTGGGCACAAAAGGCATCATGGGTCACCAAGACCAACTCCCGCTCCAGGCCCCACGGCTTTGGCAGGGCTTGACTCTGTTGGGAGCCTATGTCAGACTAATAGGCACAGTGGGCAGGGGAAGGCCCAGCCGACCACTCACCTGCATGAGCTCCCATTCTGATTTGCACTGCTTGGCCTCCAGCTCCCCAATCAGCTCATCGAGAAGGGCAATGTTCCAGGACACTCGGGTGCCGTATTTCTCCCTGACCTGGCCGATGGTCTGGCCCAGCTCCTCCAGCCAGGCCACAAACAGCTGCTCTTGCTCCTCCAGAAACTGGAACAGCTGCTCCAGCTGGCAGCAGACTCTCTGCCTCTGGGTTTCAGTTTGTTTCTGGGGAACAGGGGACAGGGAGATACAGGAGTCAGTGCTGGGGGTGGACCGTGTGTTCCCCAGCATCCCACTCCTGCTGCAGATGCCCTGGGGTTACGCACAGACAAGGCCATGACCTCCAAATTGTGCTCCCGGCTGGAGACTTGTTTCTGCCCCCGAAGAGCTGGCACACAGGTGCCCTTGACAGTGGCTCTATGGGGTTGCCTGTGTGAACTTGGCTTCCAATGCTGTTGCACAGAGGCCAATCCTCAGGTGGTCTGTTGCCTCCCGTGTGTGGTCCCTGGGAAGCTGCTTCAGAGAGGCCATGCAGCCCCAGACCACCCTTTGCTTTCCCTAAGGGAGCATCCCCAGACCCACACACGGTCTTGTTTTTATCTCAAGAGGATAGGATTAATCTTTTTTTTACATTAAAAACATATCATTTGGTGCTGTCATTGTTTGTGATTATGTAGATTCTTTGAGGGGAAAGAGGAAAAGCCCACTTCTTTGTTCATTGGCCTATAATCTAAAATTGTCTGGCCAGTTTGCCCATGATTCAATTCAGGCTGCGCACTGAGCAAGGGAGCTACACAGTTGATGTCAAGTGCATGCTATCTGGAGGCAGAGCGTCCAGCTGGCCCACTGCTGTTCAAATCCTCAGAGTGGCCTCCCAGAGCTCTATTCTAAACACAGATGATTCCCTCCAAATGGTCATTGGAAAGCATGCAAATACCTTGTTTTCTAACAACTTTCCTTTACCAGTGTCGGCTTCTGGATGATCCCTGCCGGTGTAAACTGTTACCCTAGAAACTGTCTTATTCAGTCATTCTCCTACAGCCTTCCCCTTCCTGCCATTCTCCCTATAATGACACACTTCTGTCTGAGAAAAAATGGAATCCCAGGAGGAAGGCCCTGTGTTACTGCGAGTGACCCCTTGTTTCCCTAAACAGCCCAAGTCCTGCCTCACTCTTCTTGGGGACATCCCTCACCTCTGCTTCAACCCACTGGTTCCTAGCCATCTGGGATTATGGAATGGGCCTTCATTTCACTACAGTAAATCTTATTTATTTGAAAGGCAAATGGCAGAGAAGGGGAGAGGTACGCGCACACGCACACACAAACACATCTTCTGTTTACTGGTTCACTCCCCGACTGCAGCAATGACTGAGGCTGGGCCAGGCTGGAGCCAGGAGCCAGGAACTCCATCTTTGTCTCATGTGTGTGTCAGGGGCCAAAACACTTGGGTCCTTGTCTGACGCCTTCCCAGCTGCATTAGCAGGGAGCTGGTTTAGAAGTGGAGCAGCTGGGAGTTGATCCATCATGCTGATACAGGATGCCGGTGTCCAAGGCGGTGGCTTAACCCACTGTGCCACAGCACCAGCACTGCCTTTACCCATGCCTGCATGAGGTGTGTTCATGGTACCACTGGGACGCAGTTTGGCTCCTGAACTCAAGCAGGAATTTAAACCCCAGTCATAAGTTAATGGTTTAGGAGGGTGGGAAACTTAATTGTGGTGTTTAGGAGGTGGGGCCTGGTGGGAAGCCTTAGACCCTCAGATGCCTTTGGAATGTAGTTCTCTTGAGAAGGTTGTTTTTTTATTTTTATTTTTATTTTATTTTTTTTTTTTTTGACAGGCAGAGTGGACAGTGAGAGAGAGAGACAGAGAGAGAAAGGTCTTCCTTTTGCCGCTGGTTCACCCTCCAATGGCCGCCGCTGCAGCCGGCGCACCGCGCTGATCCTGGCAGGAGCCAGGATCCAGGTGCTTTTCCTGGTCTCCCATGGGGTGCAGGGCCCAAGCACCTGGGCCATCCTCCACTGCACTCCCTGGCCATAGCAGAGAGCTGGCCTGGAAGAGGGGCAACCGGGACAGAATCCGGCGCCCCAACCGGGACTAGAACCCGGTGTGCCGGCGCCGCAAGGTGGAGGATTAGCCTATTGAGCCACGGCGCCGGCTCTTTATTTTTTTTTTTTGACAGGCAGAGTGCACAGTGAGAGAGAGAGACAGGGAGAAAGGTCTTCCTTTACCATTGGTTCACCCTCCAATGGCTGCTGCGGCTGGCGCACCGCGCTGATCCAAAGCCAGGAGTCAGGTGCTTCTCCTGGTCTCCCATGGGGTGCAGGGCCCAAGCACTTGGGCCATCCTCCACTGTACTCCCAGGCCACAGCAGAGAGCTGGACTAGAAGAGGGGCAACCAGGACAGAATCTGGCACCCTGACCAGGACTAGAACCCGGTGTGCCAGCACCGCAGGCGGAGGACTAGCCTAGTGAGCCGTGGAAGGTTGTTTTAAGAAGCTGATTTGGGGGGAGAGGGGACGTTCTGGTGTAGTGGGTAAAGCTGCCACCTGCAAGGCTAGCATCCCATATTGGTGCTGGTTTGAGTCCCAGCTGTTCCTCCTATCCAGCTCCCTGCTAATGGCTTGGGAAAAGCAGTGCAAGAAGGCTCAAGTCCTTTCGTCCCTGTACCCACATGGGAGACCTGGAAGAAGCTTCTGGCTTTGGTCTGGCCCAGCCCTGGCTGTTGTGGCCATGTGGGGCATGAACCAGTGGGTGGAAGATTCTCTCCCTCTCTCTCTAACTATGGCTTTCAAGTGTGTGTATTTTTTTTGAAAGAGGCTGAGTTGGGCCCAATCTCCCTCTGCTTCCAGGCTCTCTCTGATCCTTCCTCTGCACACTCTGCCATCGCCATGCAAGGCTCTCATCAGGGGCTAAACCAAGTGGGTCACTGATTTTGGAATTGAACCTCTGCAACTGTGAGCTAAATAAATCTTTCATCTCCATAAAGTTGGTTGCCTCGGGTATTTTAGTTGTAGGAAAGCTGACGAGCACAGTTGGGTACAGAAGGGAACCAGAGGAGGAGGCAGGTGCATCCAGTGGACTGCATCTGCAAACCCAGGCCTAGCGGGCTGGGCATCTCCATCTCCAGGAAGAAAGGGAAGCAACACTCCTGTCTGCAGCTCAACAGTGAAGGCCAACAAATTGTATTTATGGGAATCTGGCGTGGCCGTGACTCTGAGAAAATGATGAACTCACCCCGGAGGCCGGTTCTGCCTTGACCTTGTGACACCACCCTCCCCGAGTGTGAAGGGGCGAGGACTTTACCAGAAATTTCTCCATCTTCTCATCGCCCTGGGACCTCCGCTCCTCGCCACATCTTCGTAGCTGCTTCAGATGTTCCAGCTGCTTCTGAATCTGCTCCTGGCAAGGGCACTTGTTTAGACACTCGGCTCCCGTCACCAGCTGGTGCCAGCTCTGGCCAGGAAAATCTGCCTCGGAGCAGAGCTCAGGGTGCTGAAGTGTGGAGCACAGGGAGGAGGCAGAGGAGAGAGGAGGGCCGACGCCATGGCTGGGGAAGCAGCGAGGAAAGGGAGCCCCAGGGACCTCCCACCGCCTCCCCTGGATCTCTGAGCTACAAAACCAGTCAGTTCTGGTCTGTGTTCTTGCCATTTACAGCCTAACGCACCAGCATCCCAGAGCTGCTGGGGAACCGAGACAAATATCCCATGTGTCCCAGTGTGTGGCCAAGAAGAGCCCTTGGGCAGTGAGCACCTACCCGGTACTCCAGGGCGACCTCTTCGATGGGGCGCACGCGGTGGCCTCGGTGCTCCTGGCTCAGACTGCAGATGAGGCAGGTGGGCTCGCCGTGGTCCTCGCAGAAGAGCAGCTGCTTCATGTGGCGCTGACAGTGCGGCAGGGGCGGGGGGCTCAGCCCTCGGGAGCTCTTCCATGCCAGCGAGACCTGGCAGTGTGGGCAGCCGGGCAGGCGGCCACCTGAGGCCCTAGGGTGCGCAGGAGCCACAGGGCAGCTGCAGGAATCACGCCTGCAGGTAGTACCAACTGGGTCTCCTTCCTGGGTGTGGCACAGGGGACATGCAGCCTTGTCCTGTGGCCTTCCTGGGGACAGTGGCAGTGGAAAAATTTCTTGAGTGGCAAACCCAAGAGGGACTGTCCAGCACGACAGCACACGAGCCCTCGGCTACGGCGCATGCGGCCACCCCCGACTTCCACGCAGTGCCGGGGAGCTGAGAGCCCAGGGCTAGGCTGCCTGATATTCCAAGACTTGGTTTTTGGGCATTTAAGAAAGAACCGTGGTCCCTGCCTTGAATCCTAGGCCTTTCTCCTTCCTAGACATGGGTCTAGCAGGCGGCGTAACAAAGAGCAAGTCATTCTGGGAAAGCTGCCCCAGACTGCCCACGACTCCCAAGGGGAGCTCCTGCAAGTCGTGACCTGGTGCCTCAGGCGCAGCATGAGCTGAAAGCGCTGCCTGACCCAATGGGCCCTGGCCGCGCCCGCTCGGGAGGCATCCAGGACAAGCAAAGGAGGCGGCTTTATCAGGCTCCGCGTGCAGCTCGCCCAGAAGACCTCAGTGGGAGGCTAGCTCTACCTCACGACTGTCACAGTGACCTCCTAAAGCAGAAATGACAGGAGACACAAGCAACAGACACGCACACCCTTTCTCTCCCACCCCTCAGAGCCCCAAGAATCCACAGCATAGCACATCCAAAACCGACATTGCTGGTGCCCCGTAACCCTTCTCCTCTCTCTTGTGACAGTTAATTGCTGTCCCTGTGGCTGCCTTCCCGGCTCCACTGCCAAACCCACGATTTTCAGCCTCCTTTGGGAATGGGTGTGGCCTCAGGGATGTAAAGGGAGGGGGGATGAGTGGCTTCTAGAAACTTCCCTAACACTACCATCCGCCTTGGTGCCTCCATCCTGCTGAGACCGTGAGCTCAAGAACCAAGCTGGAGGAGCAGAAAAGCAGCCGCGGCACAGCCGGGGTGCCTGGGCCAGCCGCGTGTCATTCATGTGGAAGGGCAGCGCACCTCCAGGTTGTTTCTGCTGCTGTCATTTTGGGGTTTCTGTCATCCCCAAACATAATCCTGGTGCCTGTGTCATCAGCAGGAAGGACCCAGGATTTCAGCCACGAAGCCCCCCCTCCCTGCCCAGGGAAAGTGGATACTGTGCCGTCCCAGCCTCCTGGCACACCCCCGGGGGCTCCTGCGGGAAGGGGAGACTTTCACCCACTCATTTTCCACCTCTCACCCTGCGGCACGTGCAGCCCTGGGATTCCCAAGAACACCAGAGGATCCTAGGAGTAACTGGAACTCATCTCCGCGTTTGGAGAAGGGGTGCACGTCTGCATTTTTTCAGGGCCCATAACCTGCCTCCGATTCACAAAGGGACTCCCAGGAAGCACCCGGAAATCCCATGATAAAAATGCAGCGGGGACGAAAGGAAATTGGAGGTCACAGCCTTACAGGCCACGGTTGCTACGGAAGCCGGGTCTTCTGGGTTCTGGGGTTCCTCCTCACCTGCAGAGGGGAGGAGGTCTGGATCTGCGGCTTCCTGGGGTGCACCCTCTGCCGCCTCCCCCGCGGCCGCGGGGGTCTCTGGGTCCCCAGTTCCCTTTTTCCCGCAGGGCGCTGTAGGTTTTCCTCCTCCAGTCGGCGCTGCATTGGCAAGTGTGTTCCTGACTGTTCTCCCTCCCGGGGCCAGGGAATGGTCTGGATTCCTGGAGCTCTTCTCGAGGGCCTGGGCAGCCTCCGCATCGTGAGTGGCCGCTCCCCGGGGAGTGGCTGCTGAGGCTGGCTTCCGGGTCCCGGCCTCCTCCTGAGGGAGCAGAGTTCCTGGATTCGGGGGTTCTCGGTCTCTCGAAGAAATGAGCTCGAGGCTTTTGGGTCGCTTCTTTCCGGAAGGTAAATACACTTCCAATTTCTTCTGCTCCGTCTTTCCCGGGTAGGCCCCGCACTGGCCTTGGAGCCGCCCGGCCGAGCTGGCGTTCCTGCGGAGCCGGGCACTCGTCGGGCCCGGCCTGTCCCCGGGCGGCCGGCCCAGCACGGGGCTTCTCCTGGCCCCCGGCCTGCCCTGGGCGTCCACGCCGAGGCACTTCGGCTCCCTCCGTTTGACCTGCGGCTTCTTCTGGGGCCCCCGCCCAGCCTCAGGCTGGCCGGACGGCGAGCTGGCCGCCCCGTCCCCGCTCTGCCGCTGCCCCTCGCCTTCGGGGCCCTCGGCCGCCTTCGGGCTCCCGGGCGCCCTCCCTGCGGCCGGACACTCTGCAACGACAACGGGGCGGGGCCGTGAGGCTGCGCGCGCACCGCGGCGAGGGCGGGAGAGAGGCGCGACGCCCCGAAGCCAGGCGGGTGACGTTGAGAACCTTCTGGACGGCCGGCAGTTACCTCAGCGGCCGCCACCCGGCGAGAGCACCCTGGTTTCCGCGCCCTTTCCCAAACAGTACTTTTCAGACTTTTTAAGGAGAGCTTGCTTCCGAGAAGATCTTGTACGGAACTCGGAAATCTACAGCTATCCTTAGAGATGCACAAAATTCACCTAAAAATCCGTAAGGAAGAATGCAGGTGTTTGATCAGCACCCAACCTCGGAAGACTACAAAACTCAGAAAACAGTCCTGTACTTTCCTTTGGTTGCATGAGTTGAAGCGAATCCTGACTCCCCCAGGTAAGCGCACGTATGGGGATTTTTAAAAAAAACAGCTCCCCTGGGCCAGCGGGTGGCATCACGGGGTAAGCTGCCCCACTGCTGACCCAGCCCTCTGCTAATGGCCTGGGAAAACAGTGGGGGTGGCCCGGTGTTTGGGCCTCTGCACCCGTGTGGACGACCCAGGTGAAGCCCCTGGCTTGGGTCTGGCCAAGTGCTGGCCATTGCAGCCATCTGGGGAGTGAACTCTCCCTTTCTTTCTAACTCTGATTTTCCCAAAATACTTTTTCAAAGAAAAACAGCTTGCCTAGAAATTTCAGGCTGCTGTTTTCACAGAAAGGTCAGGAAAGGTTACATAAAAAATAGTTCAAGGAGAGCCTGACCCATCACTCAGGGGTACCTGAGGCTGCCAGTGCTTGAAGGTTTATATATCATCCACTGGAAAGGCAGAGCCACAGGGTCAGGTGGAGGGAGGGAGAGATGTTTCCTGTCCTTTAGTTACCTTCCCGAATGCCAGCAGCAGCCAGGGCTGGGCCAGGCTGAGCCGGGAACCTGGATCTCCATCCAGGCCATACATGGACTCTGCCACGGCCTCCAGAACGCGCTAGCAGGAAGCTGCATGAGCAGTGGAGTAGCTGGGATTTGAACCAGCGCTCTAAGTGGCAGCCTGCCGTGCCACACCTTCCCACTCCAATATTTTACACTTTGGTTGTTGATACATTCTACCATGAGCGTGTTCATTTATTTTGTAAGTACAAAAAGTAATAAAGTTGGAATCAAGGACTTGCTCAATTCTAAAAAAAAATCTCTGGAATATCTTCCTGGGACACAGTTTGAAGAAAAATTACTCTCTAATAAGGAAATGAAGAGAACCTGTAACTAGCTCTCCTTAATACTTGATTTGAAGAAGATATTTTTTAAAAAATATTTATTTAAAAGTTAGAGTTAGAAACAGAGAAGGATAGACGGAGAAATCTTCCATTCACTGGTTCATTCCCCAGCTCATCACAGTGGCCTCAAACTGCGACCATATGAGATGCTGGCACTGCAGACCGGGCTTAACCCACTGTGCCACGCACTGGCCCCTTAAAGAAGCTTTTATCAGAATTACTCTAAGGGTATTTAAAACAAGTTGCTGCTTGCTTTCTTTGAAAATATAAGTTATTCAAGCTGTTTCAGTCTCAAAGATGCTAATAATCATGTTTTAGGACATGAAAGGGTAACCAAAGGTTACCTAAGGTTAAGCTGCTGCGTCGCTTCTTGGAGCGTTTAGGATCACCTCCTGTCTCTGCTTCCAACTCCGCTTTCTCGCTAATGCGCGCCTCGGGAGGTAGCAGACGCAGCTCCGGGATTTGGATCCGCGCCACCTGGGGGCCTTGTGCTGAGTTTCTGGCGCTGTGCTTCCCCTGGCCCGGCCCTAGTTATTGCAGGCACTGGGAAGCGAACTGGGGCGGGCGGGGGGAGGTTTCTATCTGCCTGTCTGCTTCTCTGCTTTTCAAATAAAATGCATAAATAAAAAATTTTAAACTGATGTAGAATTCTACCTAGCAAATTCTACCAGACTCAGATTATGGGTTGAGTTCTATTACTCTTTCAAAGAGTTGGAAACTTAGGCAGCTTACCTAGTTCTACCTCATAGACATACACGAAACATATTTCTGATATGTCTCTTAAAATCTTAGAGATAGAAGGAAAGTTCAGACATCAAAGAGCCTGTGTCTTAGGCCCACTCAGACTCTCACAAAGGTCTTTAAAAGCAACAATCAAATGGCCACACTGGTCACAGCAGAAGGGCAGCAGTAGAAGAGGCCTGGGAGGGAGGAAGGAAGGGAGAGTGCCCTCTCGGGAATGCCTGAGCGCCCGGCAACATGACCAAAGAGGGATTCACAACCGGAATGAGATGGGGCACGATGAGATTATGCGTCCACCCTGGTAGCGCGTCTGGTCCGCAGGCTCACTTTGCTCCCCAAAAGATTCTTGTCTGCACTGCACAAAGCGAAGAACCCTCCAGGATCAGACACCTGCCTGTCCCGATCCTGACCTGCACTCAGCGTAAGAGTTGTCCTCACTCCGCTGCGGAGGCCAGAGAGAAGCAAGGGCTTCCTCGGCCACAGCTGCCCTGGCCGTGGTCAGCCTGGGACTCCTAAGCCCGCGTGAGAGCGCGTGGTCAGAGCGTGGTCTCCCCTCCCAGGAGCAGCCAGCAGCCAGCGCTGGGCCAGGAGTCAGCCTGGCTCCCTTACCCTGTTCTGTCGCTCGGTGGAGCTCCTCTGCCAGGAGGCGCTGGTTGATGGCCCGCAGGACCTGCAGGGTCAGCCGCACAGCATGCTCCTCCCCATAGTGGGTGACCAGCAGGGTGGCCAGCCTCACCGGCCTGGCCATCTGCAGCTGGCCCCGGGGAATCCGGGAGTGCTCTTTTTCCAGGCTAGTGTTTTGCAGCTTGAACTTGAACTTCTCAAAGTCATAGGGCACCAGCTCCTCCAGGGTGTTCAGCAGGTGGTCACTAGGCGTCTTGGCCATGGCGCTGACCAGCAGAGTCTGAGCCGGCGCCTGCCCTCTCCAGGAGAATAAGCCATCTGCCCAGGCAGCCCCGAGGGTGGGTGAGGAGAGGCTGCTTGTGAAATAATGGAAAAGGCACAGGAAGTGCTCCATGCCTCAGTCGGAACCGAGACGTGGGTGAGGGTGTGGCACTGTCAGCTCCTGTTCCCTCCTCCCAGACTCTCAGGGTTTCCCAGCTGACGGGGCCCCCACAGCCCAGCTGTGAGCCCACCCTGAACCCCACAGAGAGAGGGGCAAGTCTGTAGGGGAGGCTCTGGGATTGGATTCCTGACTTGACAGCCATGCCCGCTGCCTCCCAGGAGCTGGGCTGGCACAGGGGTGCCTTGGTCTCATACCGGAGAGGACTGTGGCCTCTTCCAGACTCAGATTTTTGTGGGCCCTCCAGAGCCAGTGGTATGGGCAGGAGCAGTGGGTACAGCCCTGTGAGCTTTGCCCTTCCCTGCCCAGGGAAGGCAGGTGGAGCTGGAAGGGCAGTGCCAGGGGATAGGCCATGGTGTCACCCCTGTGGCTACAGTTCCAGTCAGTGTCTGGTCCCTCAGCAACAGAAAGGCCTTGACGCCTGGGCCCAGCACCCTGACCGGGCTCTCGAATGCTCATCCTGGGCACAGACACCGGGGTGGAACGGCACAGGCGTCCTTTGGAGCTCATGACCCAGAGCGGGGACTCAGAGCTGGCCTAGACGCTAACGGAAGTGACCTGTGTCTCACGCCCTGACTTTGATCCCCTGTCTGGTCTGAGGGGTTTCAGCCTACACAGCAGTGGAGCACACGCCCATGTCCCTTACCCAGACTTGACAGCAGCGGGCCAGTCTCCAGAGCCCTTTGGTCTGCAGCATTTTCAGCCATTTTTTCCCCGAAGACTTCTCTCTTAAAGACACGAATGTGTTTAAAATCTTTCATGGCAGAGCATCCCTCCCTTTGGAGTTGTACAATGGTTGCGCTGAGGTCTCGAGGTCTCTGTGTCTTGAAAGGATGTTTTCTCCTGTCATTGATGAACAATGCGAGTGCATGGACGTGGCCTGACCTCTCAAAAGCTTGCACTCCGTGGTTTTAGGATGCGTTGGCGGGCCTGTCCTCCGTCAGTCGCTAGCACAGTGGTTGCAGAACGGTGATGTCTTGCCTCTTAGTCGGCATGATTTGCATGTCTTTGTTGAAACTTTCTGTCCTTCCAATGACATTTTGACTCAGATGTTTTGTGGGTTCAGGGTTCCCCCCTTCAACAGAGCTTAGCCTGTGCCAGCCACTGCCTGTGCCACAGATCTTGTCTTCGCTGTGCTCAGCGGTTAAGTGACTGCTGTGAGGGCCTGGCTTCCGGGCCTGGTGCCGCTGCTGACTCCCATTTCCTGCTAACGTGCTCCCTGGGAGGCAGTGGTCACAGCTCAAGGAGTCGGGTGTGGGAGACCTGGATTGAGTTCCCAGCTCCTCCTGGCTTCTTCCTGGCCAGCCCTGACTTCTGCAGGCCTGTGGGGAGTGAGGAAGCCGATGGGCGGTCTCTGTCAGATGCCAGGCAGTGCACAAGCCATGCAGCCCCAGGCGCCTTTCTTACCAGGTCGCTCACCCTGCACAGGGCCGTTGAGAAATCCTAGGCAATGCATCTGTTCTCTGTCTGGAGTCACTTCAGTGGTTTGCCCCTAGCTTCTTGGATGTCTTTCTTAAACTGGGGGCAGATTGAGGGGGAGTTTGTGTCACAGTAGAACCCGTTATTCTCAACTCCAGACCAACACGGGAAATCTCCCATGACTTTTCCCATAGTTCCTTCCATTCTGTCAACAGCAGTGTTTATTCAAACACTGTAAACCTCCTTTATCAGGATGGTTTTGGGGAATAGGACTGATAACCCTCGGAGGCTAAGCTAATTATAGAACGTGTTTCAAAGCTTATCTTTTTTCCTTATTATAAAGTAATCCATTTTTTTTTTTTTGACAGGCAGAGTGGACAGTGAGAGAGAGAGACAGAGAGAAAGGTCTTCCTTTGCCGTTGGTTCACCCTCCAATGGCCGCCGCGGCCGGCGCGCTGCGGCCGGCGCACCGCGCTGATCCGATGGCAGGAGCCAGGAGCCAGGTGCTTTTCCTGGTCTCCCATGGGGTGCAGGGCCCAAGCACCTGGGCCATCCTCCACTGCACTCCCTGGCCGCAGCAGAGGGCTGGCCTGGAAGAGGGGCACCCGGGACAGAATCCGGCGCCCCGACCGGGACTAGAACCCGGTGTGCCGGCGCCGCTAGGCGGAGGATTAGCCTAGTGAGCCGCGGCGCCGGCCGAAAGTAATCCATTTTTTAAGTGCCCAAATGATGCAAAAATGAATGCCGTAGAAGGCGGATCTCCCTCTACCTCTGCCTCTCTCTTTTTCCATCAAATGCAACAACTAAGTAAAAACGTAGAAAACAGGTGCATGGGAAACAGTGAGCACATCTCCTAGCACCTCTGCAGCCCCCGCAGGCCTGGGTTTGCCATCCCTGCTCCCAGCCAGGATCTGTGACTTTGTGACTTGCAGAGTCAGGATCCAAACCCACTCTTTAAGCCTGGCATTATCTGCTGGCACAAGGCCAACTTCTTATTTTGCTGTTTTTCTCTGTCCATGGATGCCACCTTTTCAGCCAACCACTGAGGCTCAGAACGGGCCACTGCCCCAGCCAGCCACTCCGACCTCTCGCTGCACAGACAGCCCTGGGCGTGAGCACCTTTGTGTGACTAGCAGGGGAGGCTTTGGTGAGTTCCAGTGGTTGGAATTGACCTGCTTGTTCCACATGTTTTCCGTGTCAGGGTGTCCGGTGCTTTGGGTTGGTTTTAATAGCTGACCACATCCCATTCCCTAGCCCCTGCTGAGAAGATGATGTCCAGACACAGTAGCTTTTCCAGAAAATGATGCACCCCCAGGGCACAGTGAACCTCTCAGGTTAACCCAGAAGGCTGCTGGCTGGGATCTCGCTGGGCCAAGCACAGGTTACCAGGCTCCAGAAGGTCGCAACCCAGCCCCTCCCAGCAGCCTCACGTTACTGGAGAGAGAAATGATGAGGTGGAGTGATGACACGTGGGGTGCAGGGAGTTCTTAGAGCCCGGGCCCGTCTTCCCCAGGCAGGAAAGCACCGACGACAGAGAGGGCGGGGAGCGGGGCTTTCCCTCCTGAGCTGGACGTTCCGCAACCGCAGCGGCGCCTTTCTCAACAGGGGCGGAGCTGGCCCGGGCTTTCTGGAAGGTGGCGATTTCGAACCACCGAGGCCCTTGTGAGTCAGCGGAGGGTCACAGTGAGTGCTGCAGTGATTCTTTGAAGACAAAATGTGAAAAACAAGGGGCTGAGCTGGGGCTGGGGCGTCGTGGGTTAAGCCGCTGTCTGCAGTGCCAGAATCCCATATGGACCCCTGTTCAAGACCCGAGGCTCCATTTCTGATCCATCACCCTGCTAATGCACCTGGGACAGCAGTGGAAGATGGCCCAGGGGCTTGGGCCCCTGCACGCATGTGGGAGACCCAGAAGAGGCTCCTGGCTTCAGTCTGGCTCAGTTCCGGCTGTTGTGGCCATTTGGGGAGTCTGATGGAAGAGCGCTCTCTCTCTCTCTCTCTAACTCTGGTAAATAAATAAATTTTAAAAAAAGAAATGTGAAAATAAGATTAGAACCTTTGTGATTTTTTTAAAAAATATTTTAAATTTATATGAAAGCAGAAAGAAAGGTGGGGAGTTGGGCGGGTAGGATCCTCCATCCATTGGTTCACTCCCCCCAAATGGCCATAACAGTTAAGGCTACCTCCCAGACATTCCAGTATAGGGTTTGGATACACCAAGTGGCATCTTAAGCACTGTGCAAAATGCCAGTGTCTCTTTCGATGTATCTCAAGTGTGGTATCTAGGTGAGAGTGTACGTGTCAGATTCTGAATTTCACCCTGGGGTGTGGTTGAAGCAGCAGCCCGTGTGTGTGGACCGTCTGGAGGTGCCTGGCCTTCCTGCAGAGGGAGCGTGCTGCCCTGCCCGTGCAGGCAGCGTCCACGCTGTGGCTCCCTCATGCCGAGCGTTGGACCCTGCCATAGACTCTGACCCGCTGGTCCATCGCTGCAGTTTGTACGGAATGTCCTGACATGCAGCATTTTCCTTGTCTGGACAAATAAAAATAAATACTTCCATCTTAAACTACACAGGAACAGTGAGTAGACTAGTGATGAGCTGCTCTTCCCCTCTGTCACCAAATGTGTGACCTTGTTTGGGGACAACACGATTAACCTAAATCCAGCACAGCGCCTGCACACGTTCCACCCTCTCGTTCCAGTCCCAAATAACGCACAGCTCACACAGCTCCATGTGGGCTCCCTTCCTGCTCACCGGATGTTTCACTACCTCTGGCATTCATTTCTGTGTCCTTTTGGGGTTTAAAAAAAAAAAGAATATTGGGGCCGGCATTGTAGCATAGTGGGTAAAGCTGCTGTCTGCAATGTCAGCATCCCATAGGGGCAACAGATGGCTTCCCGGCTACTCCACTTCCCATCCTGCTCCCTATCAATGGCCTGGGGAAATCAGTGAAGATGGCCCAACGGACGGACTGGGCTGCCGCCACCCTCATGGGAGTCATGGGAGACCCAGATGAAGCTTGTGGCTCCTGGCGTCAGCTTGGCCCATTGCTGGCTGTTGTGGCCATATGGGGAGTGAACCAGCAGATGGAAGATTCTCTTTCTCGCTCTCGTTCTTGCTCTCTGTCTCTGTAACTCTTTCAATAAATAAGTCTTTAAAAATGAGTAATATATTAGTTTTAGCTCAGCCTCTGAGGGAACATCCATCCTATTTCCCAAAACCATCGTGAGGGAGGAGGTGTATGGGGCATGAATACAACACCGATGTAGAGAGAACGGAAAGAACTGTCCAAAAGGTCCCGGGAGATCTCTGAGTTGCCCTGGAGTTGTTCCACTGTGACCCCCAGTCCCCGTCAACCAGCCCCTACTCTTTTTAGCTTTAAGAAAGAAATCTGAGACTTTGAGAGGCTAACATCCGAATGTAAAGTGAATTTCTAGGCAGTAATAAATGCTTAGGTTACTCAGCAGCCCCCTGCAGGGTGAGCAATGCCCGGAGGAGGTTATGCATAGTTTGTCCACCAGCTGTGATGTGACCACAGCAGAAGCCTTCACTTCAGCCTTCAAATTAAAGTCTGCTAAGTATCGGCCAAGTCAGCATCATAGATCCAAGAACGTTAATGATTTTTTTTAATGGCCAAAGTCTCAATGTCTCTGTGCCAGAGGGGCTGTGTCCAAAGTCAAAGCGGGCAGCCATCTGGCCTAGAGGTCAAGCTGCAGGGGGGCTGCCTGTGCCCCATACTGGAGTGCCTGGGTTCAGCACTGGCTGTGCTCCTAGAAGGCAGCAGGCCATGGCTCCAGCATGAGAGTCCCTCCCCCATGTGGGAGGTCTGAGTGGAGGTTTAGGTTCCAGCTCCCTCCCCCATGTGGGAGGCCTGAGTGGAGGTTTTGGCTCCAGCTCCCTCCCCCCTGTGGGAGGCCTGAGTGGAGGTTTTGGCTCCTGCCTCAGTCCCTGGCTGAGGTTACTGCAGTCATCTAGAGAGTGAGACAGTGAATAAGAGCTCACTCTCTGTTGCTCTGTCTCTGTTTTCTGTCTCCCTGATTCTCTTTCACTGTCCTCTTTGTCTCTCTCTGCCTCTGAAGAAATTGTCAAAGTATACTTTGAGACATCAAAGCAGTTGTATCCGAATTGCTGAGTAAAATGGTGGCCTTGAATTGTCTCCCACAGCTCTAAGTGGGCAGTGGATGTGGGTGCAGCAGTAATTAACATGGGTCCTTTTTTCCATCCCCCATTGTAGACATAGTTGCTGTGGTTGCTGACTGCAACTAATCAGGTTTGTTTAACTTAACAGATATTTAAGGCTTGCACCAGAACTCCAGAAATTAGTCTTTTTTTTTTTAATTTTTTTTTTTAATTTTTTTATTTTTGACAGGCAGAGTGGACAGTGAGAGAGAGAGACAGAGAGAGAAAGGTCTTCCTTTGCCGTTGGTTCACCCTCCAATGGCCGCCGCTGCAGCCGGCGCACCGCGCTGATCCGATGGCAGGAGCCAGGAGCCAGGTGCTTTTCCTGGTCTCCCATGGGGTGCAGGGCCCAAGCACCTGGGCCATCCTCCACTGCACTCCCTGGCCATAGCAGAGAGCTGGCCTGGAAGAGGGGCAACCGGGACAGAATCCGGCGCCCCGACCGGGACTAGAACCCGGTGTGCCGGCGCCGCTAGGTGGAGGATTAGCCTAGTGAGCCACGGCGCCGGCCTAGAAATTAGTCTTGACAAAGGCTGCAATTACAAAGTATCTGGCCCAGCCAACATGACCGAAGACTGGCATTACGACTGCAAACAAGCATGGGGGCTCTGGCCAGCCTCTGTCGAGTACCCAGAGCCCAACAGGCAGCTGGCCCTGGCCTTTGTCCCCCTTGTCCCTGACCCCCCTGCCTCCCTCTCTGTCCCCTTTGGAGGTCTCCTGCTGACTTGAAAATGTGAGGTGGTTTTGGGAGGATGAGGACCGCCACGTCCTTAGGAGTGCTGGCCTCTCGAGAAACCCCGATTCCTTGCGTCAGCTCCTGCGTTGTCTCTGGAGTATCGACTCTTGCGTGGAGAGCAGCTCTGCCCTTGGTTTTTGTTCTGTTTTTTTTTTTTTTTTTAAAGATTTGTTTATTTATTTGAAAGTCAGCATTACACAGAGAAAGAAGGAGAGAGAAAGAGAGAGAGAGAGGTCTTGCATCTGCTGGTTCACTCCCCAACTGGCCGGAGCTGGGTGGATCCGAAGCCAGGAGCCAGGAGCTTTTTCCAGGTCTCTCACGAGGGTGCAGGGGCCCAAAGACTTGGGCCAGCCTCCACTGCTTTCCCAAGCCATAGCAGAGAGGTGAGCTGGATAGGAAGTGGAGCAGCCGGGTCTCGAACTGGCCCCCATATGGAATGCCGGCACTGCAGGCTAACAGGGGCAAGGATCCAGGGCCAGAGGCACACAGGCCTCTTGTCACAGCTGAGTCCCAACAGGCAGGCTGCTGAAAGACAGCAGCTAAGTTCACAGGGCCTTGGTGAACCAGACACTGGGCTGGGCGTTTCACACACGGCCCTGGTTTCATTCCCATTCAGTCTCTGACAAAGGTCCTGGTTTTTCTACATATATGAGGAGATTCAGGCTTAGAGGTGGGGCAAGGAGTGGGTTTGGTTTGATGGCACAAAAGCCTTGTTTGCCTGGTTTAGCACTGCAAGTCCCTACTTCCGGAAGTCAGGGACGGTTGGCTGCCTTCTCAGGTTCATTGACCTTGGCAAGCATAGCTGGGAGGCTGCAGCCCACTCATTGCCAAGAGTGACTCTAGGTACTGTGGATACAGAGGTGAATAAAGCAAGTTCTTCACAGAACTAAGGTTCTCATTAAAAAAAAAAGATTTCTTTCTTTATTTAAAAGGCAGAGTTGGAGAGAGGCCTTCCATCCACTGGTTCACTCCCGAAATGGCCATGATGGCCAGAGCTGGGCCAGGCTGAGACTAGGAGCTCAGAACTCCATCTGGGTCTCCCATGTGGGTGCAGAGTCTCAAGCACTTGGGCCATCCTCTGCTGCTTTCCCAGGTGCTTAAGCAGGGAGCTGGATCTGAAGGGAAGCAGCCGGGACACGCACTGGCACTCATGTGGCAGCTTAACCCCCTGTGCCACAATGCCAGCCCTAGAGTTAAGATTCTTGTAGGAAAGTGTGGGCAGATAATGAACATATGCCACGTGTCAGGTAGTGATAAAGAAACTGCGGAAGGCAGCAGCAGCAGAGGACTCGTGAGGATAGGGGGCTGGTTTGGTATTTTAAACAGGGCACTTGAGGAGGATCTTTGTGCTTGAACAGAAACCTGAAAGAAGTGGGAGAGGGGCCGCTGATTTGCTTTGGGGACGAGCAGACTTCATCTATTTTTGAGTGAGTGCAGGGGCAGGCACTGTGTGTAGCGGGTAAAGCTGCCACCTGCAGTGCCAGCACCCCTTATGGGCACTGGTTCATGTCCTGGCTGCTCCACTTCCTATCCAGCTCCCTGCTATGGCCTGGGAAGGCAGTAGATGACCCAAGTCCTTGGGCTCCTGCACCCACGTGGGAAGACCTGGAGGAAGCTCCTGGCTCCTGGCTTTGGATCAGCGCAGCTCCAGCTGTTGTGGCCAATTGGCGGGGCTGGGGGCAGGGGGTGAACCAGAGGATGGATAATCTCTCTCTCTCTCTCTCTGTCTCTGTCTCTGTCTCTCTGCCTCTTCTGTCTCTGTGTAACTCTTTCAAATAAATAAATAAATATTTTAAAAAATAAGTGAGTGCAGAGGCCCTGGGGAAATGATGTTTGATGTCTGATGAACATCAAACCAGTGGCCAGAGCGAGGTTGGGGGGCAGTGGCAGCAGGAGTGGTCTGGAGGGTTAGAGGGGGTATTGGGGGCCAGGTCAAGAGGGCTTCCGCGTCTTACTCTGAGATGAGTGGACATTGGAGACTTAGGGCAAAGCAGTCATCTGACTCATGCGGTGAAAGAAAAACTCTGGTTTCTGCAGAAAGCAGCAGCGGGGAAAGGAGGGGCAGAGCGCGAGGAGAAAGCAGTCAACCGCCAGAGCGCAGGGCCTGAGCCAGCCTGGAAGCAGAGGAGCCAGAGTCTGGCTGCTTTTTTTTTTTTTTCCAAAGATTTGTTTATTTGAAAGAATTATAGAGAGGCAGCGGCAGAGAGAGAGCGGGCGAGAGAGGTCTTGCATCCACTGGTTCACTCCCCAGTTGGCCACAAGAGCCAGAGCTGCACCGCTCCAAAGCCAGGAGCTAGGAGCTTCATCTGGGTCTCCCACATGGGTGCAGGAACCCAAGGACTTAGGCCATCTTCTAGTGCTTTGCCAGGCACATTAGCAGGGAGCTGGATCAGAAGTGGAGCAGCTGGGACTCGAACCAGCACCACATGGGATGCCAGCACTACAGATGGCGGCTTTACCTGCCATGCCACAGCACTGGCCCCCTGGGTGCTTTTGAAAGCAGAGCTGACATGACATGGATTGGATATTAGGGGTGGGTTGTGTAGAGGCATAGGGGCAAGATTCTTTTTGTCCAGGTCATATGAAAGGCCCTCGATGCTACCTTAAGGAGTTAGTGTTGATCCCTGCAGATAACAGGGAGCTCCTGTAGGATCTAATTCTCAACCCATCTGCCCATCCCAGCCCAGATCATCATCTGAGCAAAGGCCCTTTCTCACAGGACATACAGATATATTTAATATTTGACAGAATGACACACACAGAATCTTCCATCCACTGGTTCACTCCCCAAATGGCCACAACAGCCTGAGCTGTGCCAGATCAGAGTCAGGAGCCAGGAAGTCCATCCTGGTGTCCTGCATGGGTGGCAGGGGCCCAAGCACTTGGGCTATGTTCTGCTACCTTCCCAGGTGCATTAGCAGGAACCCGGATGGGAAGTAGAGGAGCCCGCACTCTGATATGAAATGTTACCTGCTGTGCCACGATGCCCAACTCTGAGAATATGTTTGTATATGTGCTTTGAGGGGAGACCAAATTCTGGGATGACCTACCCCCTCCTGAGCAGGATGGAAAGAGAGGTGAGGCCAGCTTCATCAAGTGGGGTGCAGCAGGTGGCCCTGACCCTGCCTACGAGCTGCAGTGACAGGGTTCTGTCTAGGTGGCCACACTGCCCACGGATCAGAGCTTCCTTCTCAGTGCTGTAACGTTAAGCAGACTACAACTTATCAAGCGCTATACACAGGATTTATTCTAAATACACACGCAGGAAACGTGGGTGTTCATTTTACTCTCAACTTTTAAAATTTTTATAACATTAACATTTTTCCTGGTTAACTGATATTTTTTAATTTTTTTCTCAAAGAAACCTTTTATTTAATGAGTGCAAATTTCCTAAGTACAACTTTAGGAATATAGTAATTCTTCTCCCCATACCCACCCTCCCACCCCACTTCCCTCCTTCTCTCCCATTCCCTATCCCATTCTCTATTAAGATTCATTTTCAATTAACTTGATACACAGAGAGCAACTCTATACTAAGTAAAGATTTCAACAACTTGTGTGGGCGCGCGCACACACACAGAACTGAGAGCAAGTTTTACAGTTAATTCTCGTAATACAACTCCTGGAGGGCAGAGGGTCCTACATGAGAAGTTAGTGCACAGTGACTCCTGTTGGTAATGTAACAATTAACACGCTAATGTATGACGTCAGCGGTCACCAGAGCCTCTTGACATGAGCTGTCAGGGCTATGGACGCCTTTTGAATGCACAGTCTCCATCGGTATTTAGACATGGTCCTAAGCGAAGTGGAAGCTCTCTCTTCCTTTTAGAGAAAAGTACCTCCTTCTTTGATGGCCCCTTCTTTCTCTGGGCTGTCACTCAGAGATCATGTCGGCCATTGTTTTGCCTCAGTGTCTTGGGTTTCCATGCCTAATGCTCTATGGGTTTCTAGTCAGACCAGGAAGCCTTAAGGGCTGACTCCGGGGTCAGAGTGCTTTACCTGATATTTACAAGCTTGGGGCACACGAGCAAGCAGGCCGCTGGGAAAGGCAGGAAAACAACAAAAGCGCCTCTTCGCGGTTTCCCTCACGTACCCCTTGCCCGGCCTGGGCCTTCCCCCTCCTCGCCCCGCGCTCCGGGATTCCCACGTTTTGAAACTGCTTGTTTACGAGTCCGGGAGCGACGGGGGGCGGGTTTCCCGCCCGCCCGCTTCCGGTCCGTCCAGGGGGTCGTTTCCGGGCTCGAGAAACCCCGGGCAGGAGCGGCCCGCGGCCGGGCACGCCTGTGCGAGGCCGCCGCCCAGCGCCGCGCCCGCACCCGGGGAGCCCACGCCCGCGGCAGCGCCCGGGGGCAGCGGCGTGAGAGGGGCGTGACGGAAGAGCGGCCTGAGGGAAAAAGGGGGCGTTCCGAGGCGAGAGGCGCACGCTCCTCGCCGCACCCGGAGGGAGGGCGCGACCGGGCCCGCCCACCGCGTCACAGAGACGCGTGCGCGGACGAATCCCGGGACTCCGGCTCCCAGAGGCCCCCGGGGGAGCACGGGAACCAATCGGAGGACGGGCAGTCTCACCGGGGTATCCCAGCGGGCGCCGGGCCGCGTGGCGCTGGACTGATTGGCAGCCCCTCCAGCCTATGGCTGCTGTTGGAGCAGCCGTGCGTCGAAAGCGGGCCTAGGGCGGCTGCGGTCTGCGCTGGTATCCCGGGCGCCGCGCCGGGAAGTGGGACGAGTGCGCCCGTGGGTGGCCCGAGGCGCTCCGGCGTGGGGCCGCCGGGTTGTGCTGAGCGCGTTGACCTCGGGAGCTCTTTGTCCTGATTGGCTGGTGGTCTTCCTCCCCTGGCGTATGCCGCAGACAGTGACCGGTTGCCTGCCAGGCCCCGCGCTGGGCAGTGCGGGGATGGCACCTCGGGTGAGGACTCTGCCGCAGGGAGCTTGTCCCGCGGGGTGGAGCGGGCAGGGTGATTACAGGTCAGCTGGAGTTGCCGGTTAGCATGAAAGCCGAGAGGGAAGTCGATGGCTCAGCCCCTCAGGAGCGCTGGCGTTTGCTCATTTACGAAAGGGGCAGCGATGGAAGCTACAGCAAGGGGCTCAGACTCTGGCCCTGGTACCCTAGAGTGCAGAGTCCAGATTCCTCGGTTTCAAGGTCGCATTTGAGAAATTCAGTAAGATGGGGCCGGCGCCGTGGCTCACCTGGTACTCCGCATGCTGCACAGGCATCCCATATGGGCGCCGGATTCTGTCCCGGTTGCCCCTCTTCCAGTCCAGCTCCCTGCTGTGGCCCGGGAAGGCAGTGGAGGATGGCCCAAGTGCTTGGGCACCTGCACCCGCATGGGAGACCAGGAGGAGGCACCTGGCTCCTGGCTTCTAATCGGCGCAGCGCCAGCTGTAGCGACCATTTGGGGGGTGAACCAGCGGAAGGAGGATCTTTCTCCCTGTCTCTCACTGTCTGTAACTCTACCTGTCAAATTAAAGAGAAAAAAAAATAAATAAAAGAAAAATCAGTAAGATACAGTGAGCCATGGAGGTAGTGATTTTCCCAGAAAGTGGGATATGCATCTAGAGTAAGTCACAGCGTTTTGAGGGTTCCTGGAGTTCCTGAAGCCCCCTTGGGGATTTCTAGTAGGAGACTGTAGGTGTAGACCCTTCGCTAAAGCCAGGGCAGCCATTCATTTTGTTTTACATATTGGACCTTTGAGAAAGATTTTTGCTTCAAGTGTATTGGAACCCAGAAATATTGGGACAGCGATTTAGAGGGTCTGTTTTTCTGATTCCAACATTTTAAGTGCTACCCATCAACACCTGCTTTCCTCGGATAAAAAGAATCATGGTGCTGGTGCTGTGACGCATGGGGTTAACGCCCTGGCCTGCAGTGCCGACATCCCATATGGGCGCCAGTTCTAGTCCCGGCTGCTTCTCTTCCCATCCAGCTCTCTGCTATGGCCTGGGAACGCAGTAGAAAATGGCCCAAGTCCTTGGGCCCCTGCACACACATGGGAGACCCGGAAGAAGCTGCTGGCTCCTGGCTTCTGGCTTTGGATTGTCGCAGCTCCAGCTGTTGCGGCCAATTGGGGAGTGAACCATCAAATGGAAGACCTCTCTCTCTCTCTGCCTCCACTCTGTGTAACTCTGACTTTCAAATAAATAAATAAATCTTTAAGAATCAGATTGTATTTACCTGCATGGTGGGCTGAGGGGCACATTCTTACTCATAGCCTCTTTATATCTTCTGGAACATTCCCCTGCCACATGTGCCAGATTAGAAACTTTCAACAATTTAGGTGTTTATCCCTGGGGACAAACTCAATAAATGTTAGTGAATCCATTCTGTGGTCTACACTGCGTCCACTGAGAACAATGTGGAATTCTGTGTGCTAACGTGCAAAGCCAGCCAAAATACGAATAAATTATTAAATTAGAGCCAGCGCGGGTAAAGCCGCTGCCTGTGGTGCCAGCATCTCATATGGGCACCAGTTTGAGTCCCAGCTGCTCCACTTCTGATCCAGCTCCCTGCTATGGCCTGGAAAAGCAGTGGAGGATGGCCCAGATCCTTGGGCCCTGTACCCATGTGGGAAGACCCAGAGGGTGTACAGCATGTGACATGGGTACCTCTAAAACGCTGAATTGAGTGTAAGGTTGGTATTTTCACTCACATCATCTACATGTTTTTATTTTTTCCAATGACCATTTAAGAGTTTTGTGATTTTTTTTTTAGTTTTATTTTATTTATTTGAAAGAGTTACAGAGAGAGGTAGAGCCAGAGAGAGAGAGATCCTCCATCCACTGGTTCACTCCCCAAATGACTGCTACCGCCAGAGCTAAGCTGGTCAGAAGCCAGGAACTTCTTCCAGATCTCCTACATGGGTACAGGGGCCCAAGGACTTGGACCATCTTCTACTGCTTTCCCAGGCCACAGCAGAGAGCTGGATCAGAAGTGGAGCAACTGGGACTCCAACAGCGTCCTTAAGCAATGCTGGCACTGTAGGCCAGGGCTTTAACCTGCTGCATGACAGCACCAGCCCCAGTCTTATATTTGATACTGCTCCATGAACATAGTTCCAGTGTAAAATAGTAAGACAAAACAAAGCACAGCAAGCCAAATGTTAGCACAATAATTTCATGTTTTCCTCCATTACTGCTATAACAGCACCAAGAAAAACCACCTCAACTGAGAGGCTGATGTTGAGGGGCAGCAGCATGAAGACATCATCAAAACACCATCTGCAGTGCTCGCATCCCATATGGGCGCTGGTTCGAGTCCCGGCTGCTCCTCTTCCCATCCTGCTCTCTGCTGTGGCCTGGGAAAGCAGTAGAGGATGGCCCAAGTCCTTGGGCCCCTGCACCCACGTGGAAGACCCGGAAGAAGCTCCTGTGTGCTGGCTCTGTGTGCAAGTGTCCTGACTTATGTTCCCCTTGGAGTCCTCTTCTAAGTGTAGGGTTAGAAGACCCTTAAACAGTTGTGGGGGCCCCCAATGCTCCCCGTTTGTTATATATAGCTGGCTCCCGGAATGGCACATCCTTGTGAGCAGCTTTTGTCTGTTCTAGGTTTGACTTTATCCTGAACTCAAAGACCTTGTTAAACCAAAACTTTGAGACAAAGGTTTTGTGAAGCAAAGGGTCACTGAGCCTTGCAGACGCCAGCCAGTCAGATCTCAGGAAGAGTTCCCGCAGCTAGACAGCAGGTGGGAGTGTGCACTGGGCCCAACATCCAAAAACACTTTCCTTTAAATGAAAATCTGGTGAAGGAGCATACATTGTTCACCTAGAACATTCACTGGCTGCAGATAAGAGGGGCTGGGTGACTCAAATCAGGGAGTTTTGGGGTGGGGGCAGTCTGTAAAGAGAATTACTTCTTGTTTCTGAGTTGGTTTCAGTGAATAGTCGGACAGTGTACACTAAAGAAGGAGGGGCTGGCTCCTAGGCTGGGAGAGGGGTCAGCTGCCAAGGGTTTTAAATCAATATTTAAACAATTAGGGGCCAGCGCCATGGCTCACTTGGTTAATCCTCAACCTGCGGTGCGGGCACCCCATATGGGTGCTGGGTTCTAGTTCCGGTTGCTCCTCTTCCAGTCCAGCTCTCTGCTGTGGCCCAGGAAGGCAGTGGAGGATGGCCCAAGTGCTTGGGCTCCTGCATCTGCATGGGAGACCAGGAGGAAGCACCTGGCTCCTGGCTTCTGAATGGCACAGCGTGCCGGCCATAGTGGCCATTTTGGGGGTGAACCAATGGAGGGAAGACCTCTCTCTCACTGTCTAACTCTGCCTGTCCAAAAAAAAAAAAAAAAAAAAAACCTGCTAGGCCAAATGCCTGCCTCATAAGTCGAGGGTTTTTTGTTTGTTTGTTTTAAAGATTTATTTATTTATTTGAAAGTCAGTTACACAGAGAGAGGAGAGGCAGAGAGAGAGAGAGAGGTCTTCCATCCGATGGTTCATTCTCCAATTGGCCACAACAGCCGGAGCTGTGCCGATCTGAAGCCAGGATCCAGGAGCTTCTTCGGGGTCTCCCATGCAGGTGCAGGGGCCCAAAGACTTGGGCCATCCTCTACTGCTTTCCCAGGCCATAGCAGAGAGCTGGGCAGGAAGTGGAGCAGCCGGGTCTCGAACCGGCACCCTTATGGGATGCTGGCTCTTCAGGCCACAGTGCTGGCCCCTGTTTGTTAATTTTTTTAAATAACTAAAGAACATTTATTTTCCACTAGGAGTTTGCCTTGAGGATGTAACTGAACTGAGCCACCCACCCACCCCATCTCCAAGGGTTAGTGCAGTGACTTATAAAGCAGATCTTGACGGTCGGAAGCTCTGGAACCAACATGAACTGACAAAAGAATTTCCATCTAAATCCTCATAAAAATGTTTAAGTAAAATAAAAAGAAAAGAAAAAAGGGGCCATGGGGGTTTCGATTGAACAGGGTTCTCACGCTTCATCTAACGCATTCATGCTGGCTAGAGTGTGGCAAGTGGAAGCAAGATCACTACAATACGGAACTCCCACTACAGTGCGCCGTACACACCTGTGTTCCCAGCCCCACCCCACCCCCACCCCCAGGGCTTCCACTCCATTATTTTCCCGCCTGTTGGGGCTGCCGGCGGAGGGGCAAAGAACTTCTCTTTGGTCCAGTCTGTGTTGCAAGGCTGGTGTGAAGAGAAAGGTAACAAGCACAGTTACAGTGGTCACTCAGTCACATGTTAAAGCCCCAGACAGGACATGGGTGTGCACATTTCCACACATGAACTTAATGAGAAAGTGTGCGATGGAACACAAACTTGAGATCACCTGCTACGGTCATACAGTGGAAAAGCAGCTGAGACCTGGAGCTGCGGCATCCCACGCGCAGTAGGTCACTGCTCCACTTACTGACATGGTGTGGCCAGAAGCCATGTACTCTCTCTCCCATGTAGCTTTTTTTTGTTTTTACAGGCAGAGTTAGACAGTGAGAGAGAGAGAGACAGAGAGAAAGGTCTTCCTTCCGTTGGTTCACCCCCGACATGGCCACTACTGCCAGCGTGCTGAGCTGATCTGAAGCCAGGAGCCAGGTGCTTCTCCTGGTCTCCCATGCGGGTGCAGGGCCCAAGTGCCATCCTCCACTGCCTTCCCGGGCCACAGCAGAGAGCTGGCCTGGAAGAGGAGCAACTGGGACAGAATCCGGTGCCCCAACTGGGACTAGAACCCAGGGTACCGGTGCTCCAGGCGGAGGATTAGCCCAGTGAGCCGCGGCGCCGGCCTCCCACGTAGCTTCTATTTTATAGTTCCTTTAGTTTTTAAAAGACGTAAACCAAATACTGGTACAAACTTTAGATTTGCTAAGTTTACTCTGAATTAACTAAGAAGCCTTTTAAAGCATGTTACTGCAACAAAGATTTCTTGTTTTTCCCCCCTGTAAAGTACTAAGAAAAAGAAATTTCATAACCTGTATCTTATAACTTGCCTTTTTTAAAATATAAATTTAAATTTGCTAGAGGCATTTGCAGGGACATTACCAGAAGACTAAGGAAGTGCTACAGTGTCTCTTCTCGGGAGAGAAGGGCAAGGAACGTGACTAGCATTAGCAGTAAACTCCCACAGGACTCCGCGGCTTCAGGACACCAAGAAATCGCTCCACGACTCAAAAACAAAAACAGGAAAACATCCCAGTTGACCTACAGCTGAAATCTTGCGTATTAAGTAAAAAACCTACTTTTGGAGCCAAACTAAAGCCGTAGTATGAAAAAGGAAATGGCACGCAAGCAGACAGCGGTCTTCTGAGCTGTGGCACCACCTGTGGGGACACTGCACACAGCAGCCAGGAGCGGGCGCAGATGCGGTCTGCCTTCAAGGGCCCGCTTAGCTTGCCTAGAAAGACATCTTAGGGACACCCTAAAAAACAGAGTAACTGGTTTATCCATTATTATCTTGTTTTAGCCAGACCGTTGTAAGTCAAGGTTTTTTTATTTGTTTAAAATTTATTTATTTGAAAGGCAGAGTTAGAGAGAGAGGGAGAGAAGAGAGAGAGAGAGAGAGTTTCCATCCACTGCTTCACTCCCCAGATGGCTACAACAGCCAAGGCTGGGCCAGGCCAAAGCCAGGAGCCAGGAGCTTGGAGCTTCTTCTGGGTCTCCCATGTGGGTACAGAGGCCCAAGGACTTAAGCCGCCTTCTACTGCTTTTCCCAGACCATTAGCAGGGAGCTGGATGGGAAGTGGGGCAGCTGGAACATGAACCGGCACTCTTGTGGGAGCAGCTTTACCTGCTATGCCACGACACTGGCCCCATAAGTCAAGGTTTTAACGTAGCGTTCAGAATATGGCATGGTTTGTTGGTTTTGGCCCTAGGCTTTTAATTGATTAACTTTCCTTATCTCTTAGGTTCTCTATCCTCTGACTCCTGTAATGAAATTTAGCACATCTCAGAATCTTTTCTCTAACAACCTTGTTGAGCAAACAGTTCTAAGGACAGAAACGTGGCACTTGTGGGAATATCACAAATCCTACAAACCATCTGCTGACTTCCCAAGGGAAGTTCAGAGTTCCATCAATAGTCCCTATCCCACTGAACTGTTTGCTTAAGAAGGTGGAGGTCTAACGTGAGTTTAGGGCCTCAGTGAACTTGGCGAATTGGGAGCAAACAGGGTCCTTTTGGAAGGAAAAGGCTCAGGCTTGACAAGCAATAGAAGGATCTGTTTTCTCCCAGCACCTCGGAACAAGCAGGGCAGATGGGAGACCCTGAGGGGACCAACACCCTACACCCTGGTGCCGTGTGCACTCCATTTGCCTCCCTGCAGCACGGAAGAGATTTCTTCTCCCCCTTCTTGGAAGCGATTTGTTCTTGAGGCGGGTGTCAGAGCCCCGTTCAGACCATCAGAGAGAACTAGCTAACAACACCTCTTTCCTTGGAAATGTCTCAAATAAAAAAAATAAAAAAAAAACACTGAGGGCATACCAAATACCTATGTGACCATCACCTGCAATTAATGTTGCAATGACACCTTGCTTGATTTTGGTTTTATTTTATAAGAAACAAAGTCCACTCTGGATTGTCCCCCACAGTTATACAGATAGCCCTCCAGCCAGATGCTGTCAGGGTAGCCAAAATCCTGCTGTGGGTTCCAAGCGCAGGTTCTCCTCGTCGTTAGGATGGCGCTAGAAGGCCTTCTGTGGTTCTGCCTCGGAGGTCACGCTGCCGCCATGCTCCACAAGCTGGCCAGCCAGAAGGGGGAGGGGCCGCATGTGCCACACTCTTTGATAGGAGGAGTGGCTGAGACCCTGTGACTGGGTCTCCCCAGCCCAGGCAGGCCGAGGGGCTTTTAGTCCTTGGCTTCTGCCCTCCACTCTCTCTCTCTCCCTCTTACAGGGGGCCCTAGCTTGGAGAAGTGGCTAAAGAGCTACCACAGAATACCAAGTCGGGTGGACAAGCCTCTCCTGGGGCCACAGAGCATGAGCTCATCTTTCTGAAAGGCCTCATGGTTTAGACTTTTGAAGTTCTCTCCAACATCCAGGTGTGCGGGGTGATAAAGGAAAAAATTAAATGTACCACACATTTTGTGGTATTTTTTCCAAGAGTCTTAAAAATGGTGGTGCCAGGCTTTTTCTAGGCCTCTGAGATCTGACAACTCAAACTGGAAATGATGGGACACAGGCTGGCCCCCTGAGTTCCTAACATTCCTGGGCTGGGGGGCTGATGAGGTGCTTTTTTAAATACTTATTTATTTATTGTTTGAAACACAGAGTTGGAGAGAGAGAGCACACATGTGAGAGAGAAAAAAATATCTTCCATCTTTTGGTTCACTCCCCAAATCGTCACAGTGGCTGGTCTGTGCCAGGCCAAAGCCAGGAGCCAGGAACTTCATCTGGGTCTCCCATGTGGGTGTAGGGACCCAAGCACCTGGGCCATTTTCTGCTGCTTTCCCAGGTGCATTATCAGGGAGCTGGATAGGAAGTGGAGCAGCTGGGACTCAAACTGGCGCCCATATGGGATGCTGCTGTTGCATACAGTGGCTTAAACCACTATGCCACAACACTGGCCCCTCGGCTGATTACTAACCCTAAGGAAATGCCAAGGGCTGAGCTTGCTTCCCAACCCCGGCTTCACATCTGCTCTGGAGGACTCGCAGGGAGCGAGGGGAGAACAGAGAACTGGGCCTGAGGCTGCTTTTCCCAGTTGTTAGCAGGGAACCAGATCTGATCTGGGACAGCCAGACTCGAACCAGTGCCCACGTAGGATGTTGATTGGCAGGTGGCAGCTTAACCTGCTGTGCCACAATGCCACTCCCAAATAACAGATTCCTAATAGCATCCCAAAGCTTCTCTCCCACCCCAAGTCCCAAGATAAGAGAGAGGGAGGTCAGAGTGCCAGTTATGAAGCCTGTTCTGGGGTAATTTAAGTTATGAGATGTTCAAATGAAAAGTGGCATCTGAACGGGGCTTGCCGCTGTCCATTACAACAGCCTGTGTGTGTTTTAGCTGAAATCTAGAAGGGGATTATCCTGGTCCTTGTAAACTAGCTGACAGTGTTCCCATTCGTCTCAAAGCACCTGGTGAGGTTTCTCTCTGGTTTGCTCTTCTACTATGTCCGTCTGTCCTCGCCTCACTGAGAGAGTGGAGGTCTGGACCCTCCTTCCATGTCCCTTCCTCTCGCTCCGCCTCTCTAAGACTTGGTGGTAAGTAGTGACTTAAAATCCAAATAGAAGAGAATGTTCAAGTACTGTTTTCAAGCCTGATTAGCAAGATGGTTTGGTTAATGGTCATTAGAAGGAAAAGTTAAACCCCACATTAAAAATGGGGGGAGGGTGTCGGTGCTATGGCATAGCAGGTAAAGTCGCCGCCTTCAGTGCCGGCATCCCATATGGGCGCCGGTTCGTGTCCACTTCCGATCCAGCTCTCTGCTGAGGCCTGGGAAAGCAGTAGAAGATGGCCCAAGTCCTTGGGCCCCTGCACCCGCGTGAGAGACCTGGAAGAAACTCCTGGCTCCAAACCGGCACAACTCCAGCCGTTGTGGCTAATTAGGGCGTGAACCAGTGGATGGAAGACCTCTCTCTCAATCTCTCTGCCTCTCCTTCTCTCTCTGTGTAACACTGACTTTCAAATAAACAAATAATAATTTTTAAAAAGTGTGTGTGTATGCATTTATATATAAATCAAAATATAGGAGGAGCAAAATGCCTTAGCATAGACTTTGATGGGGAAAAGGCAACATATTTCAGGGTAATAAAAATAAAATGCATGTGGATGTTTGGTGCAGTGGCTAAGACACTACTTCGGACACCCCCAGCCCAAGTCAGTGCGGCCGGGTTGGAGTCCCAGTTCCACTTCTGATTCGAGTTTCCTGCTTATGTGTGCTCTGGGAAGCAGCAGATGAAGTGAAGTCAAGCATTTGGATCCCTGCCACCCATGGGAGTCTGGGATTGGGTTCTGTGCTCTTGGCATTTGGGAAATGACCCAGCAGATGGAAGGTCTCTATCTGTATCTACTCTTTGCCTTTCAAATAAAAATAAATAAATTTTAAAGACCAAAAGACGCATTTGAAATGAAATGAAGCCTCACGTCACTATTTTGTTTATGCTAAGAAAAAGAGTGGGATGAAAAAGTAATGTGGTGCAGGTACAAGAAAACTCCCTGAATGCCAGGGCATCTGTAAGACCTGGTTAGGGACTGAAAGCAGCCTAGAAACAGGGACGAGGAGGCAGGAGATTAAAAATTTCCTGACAACTAGGGAGCCTCCTCTAGCTGCGAAACGAAGTAGAACCAGTAGTGGCCACACGAGGGCACACTTACTTCATTTTCACCAGAGCCCGAAGGTAGCTGTTCTTAGATATTTTTGGTGTCTCGAGAACTTGGTGAACGGTCTGTTCCTGCTTCCTGGGGACACACACATGCAGGTTGGTGCACAGTACCTCCAGACGCACCGTGCACCCCCCGGATCTGTGCTGGCCAGTGCGCCCCCCAACATGAACTCCGCCTTAAAGGCTCGGTAGGCACCATCACACGGTTCTGGGCAGTGCCAGGCTAAGAACCCTGGGGTTCAGTGCATCCCTGTAGATCTGTAACCAGCGGGTAACTGTACTCCAATCAGATGTCGGCTAGTCTGTCCCCTGAATACGGGTAGGCCACAAAAAAATACTAATCCTAAGAATGCGCTGGAACAAACCCCGAGCGCCAGCGGTCGCAAGCGGTTGACCTCCATTCGTCCTACTTCAGGGCAGCACTGAAATATTCTTACACATATCCCGCAGCCACTGCCACTGACGGTTCTAAGCCTCGAACGTGCCCTGGCTCATGCAGTCCTCCCCGCACGTTCCCTCAGCTCAGAGAAGGGAACTGCGGTGGGAGCTCCATGCGATTAAGTAACTTGCCTGAGACCATAAAGGCCCGGGACAAGTGGTTTATGAGGTTAGAATCGAGATTTTCTTTTTTGAAATGAGAATGTTTAAAAAACCAGAATGGTCACAGGGAGTTCTGACGTCACGCCTATGCTGCAGTGGTCACAGGGAGTTCTGACGTCACGCCTATGCTGCAGTGGTCACAGGGAGTTCTGACGTCACGCCTATGCTGCAATGGTCACAGGGAGTTCTGACGTCACGTCCGTGCTGCAGGGGCTTCTGGGTTGGCATCTGCATGGCAGCTGCGGGTCTGGTTTCGTCCCTGGAATGGGACAAGGAAAACGCATGCCCAGTCCTCAGTCCACACAGGTGTTCCGAACCAGCCCTGGCTGTCCCCAGGTCCACCCTTCGCCACACTGGCGGCCTTGTGCGACCCGGCCCGGCTGACGGTGCCAACAACAACGTCTGCTTCGTCCAGTGCGCGTCGAGGATCCGCCTGCACGCGAGCAAGCGCTGTGTAGACGGTTACTGGTTGTCCGGATTCGCTCCCAGCGCGCTTCTGTCGGCCTGACCGCCGGTGGAAAGCGTCGCGGCCCTGGACCGCCGCTGCCCGTGGGCAAGAGCTCCAGCTCGCGGCGGGGCAGCCCTCCCCTGGGCGACACGAAGCCTCCACCGGCCCCACGCGTGTCCGTTCGCGCCGCAAGGCGATTCTCACGGCGGAGCCAGCACCGGAGTAACCGGCCCTGGCCCTCGCGGGCCGAGCAGTACACCCACACCCGGAGAGCCAGGGGGGCGCGCCAGGCCCTGAGCGCCCCCCGGAAGCCCCGGAGCCCGCCCGGCCGGCCCCGCTGCCACACACGACCCGGCTGCAGCTGGCTGCGGGCGTAGACGGCGGAGCCGGGGCCGCCAGCGCAGGCGCAGTCGCGGGGTCGCGCCACGGACTCCATCTCCCGGCAGGCCCCGCGCCGGGGGCCGGGGGCCGCGCGCTGTGACGGGTTCGGGGCGGCCCGCGGCCGGGCGTCCACGGGTGTGGAGCGCGCTGCGGAGGCCGCCGACTCCGAAGCCGGACGCGTGGGTCGCGCTTGCCGCTGCCAGCCCAGGGTGCCCGGGACGGTTGGGGGTTGCCCCGGGAAGACGCCATGGGTGGAGCTTAGCCACTCAGTTCCGGATTCTGCCCGCCCCGAACTCTGACGCGGTGGCCCTCGCGCGGCCGGGGCTTGCCATTTTAATAAGCCTTTGTGGGGACCCCTCGTCCAGACCGTCCGCCGGGCACGTCCTCCCTTCCCCCCAGCTATTTTCGACTTGGCGGCCCCGCCCATCGCCCCTCCCGGGGCCGCCGGGGACCGCGGGGCTCCTCTCTGATTGGCCCCTCGCTCGTCCCGCCTCCGCAGGCGGACCTCCCCTTCTCATTGGTCGTCGGTGAGTCTGTGGCGAGACCTGATCCAATGGGCGCCGGAGTTTGCAGAAACGTGACCCGGAAGTTGGGCCCAAGCAGGGGCCGTTGGCTTGTGGACGGCTAACTGGCGCCCAGGCACTTCCGGCCTGAGGGCCGAGCCGTCTTTCGTGTGTCCCGGTGCTGGCTGAGGAGCGGGTCGCTCGGGTCTTGCCGCGGGAGCGTCCTGGCGAAGGTGGGCCTGGGCGGCTGGGCGGCGGCACCCGAAGCTTGTTGAGGTGGAGGCGCTGGAGCCAGCTGCGCCCGGCGAGAGCTGGGATCTTCCGCCGGGACCTGGAGCCCCGGGCCCAGCAGCTCCGGCCGGCGCCGCGCACCCTTGCTTGGCGCCGGGATACCTCTCAGAGCGGCCGCATCCGGTTTTAAGGGGCCAGGCGCTCTGGGGTCCTGACAATGGCGTCGGGCCCGAGCTCCCAGGAGCGAGAAGGGCTCCTGATAGTGAAACTGGAGGAGGACTGCGCCTGGAGCCAGGAGCTGCCCCCGCCTGACCCCGGGCCCAGTCCGGAGGCCTCCCATCTGCGTTTCAGACGGTTCCGTTTCCAGGAGGCCGCTGGGCCCCGGGAAGCCCTGAGCCGGCTCCAGGAGCTCTGCCACGGCTGGCTGCGGCCCGAGCTGCGCACCAAGGAGCAGATCCTGGAGCTGCTGGTGCTGGAGCAGTTCCTGACCATCCTGCCCCAGGAGATCCAGAGCAGGGTGCAGGAGTTGCATCCCGAGAGCGGCGAAGAAGCAGTGACCCTGGTGGAGGATATGCAGAGAGAGCTCGGGAGGTTGAGGCAGCAGGTGAGAGCGCGCGAGCTGGCTGCCTGGCCCCGGCGGCGGGGATGTCACCGACCTGGTTGCCCCGAGCTCTGCACGGGGAGCAGGCCTTTTTGTCGTTTGCCCCGGACTCTCCGACCTCCACTTGGTCCCCGCACGGCCGGGGGCGTAGGGCAGAGGCGGCGGGGCTCGGCACCTGGCCAGCGTGAGAAAGCAGCGCGTGAGAGCGCTCACAGGACTGGCTGCAGTCGGTGGTGGAAGCCTGCTGGCCGATGCGCGGGGCTCAGCAGTGGCCTCTGCAGAACGGGTTAACTGTGAACTCTGGCAAGGGTTCGCCCCTCAGAGACCCGCATTTGCCGTGTCCCGCAGTGAGGGATAGACGCATCTAGAAGAGGGGGAGCGCACAGAGGGCGGGGTGTCAGAACGTGCGCGCTGTTTGCGAACCTGCCCTCTTACTCGCCGGCCCACTCACTTTCCCGGATGCAGACGGGACCCCAGAAGGCGTTGGGGCCTTGTTGGGTCCAGAGGGTGGCCTGCCGTCCTCTGTGGAGGGCTTGCTCGCAGAGCCCTGTGGTGACGCCGAGTGCTGTGGGTTGGTTCCCAGGTCACAACCCGTGGGCGGGGAACAGAAGTGCTTTTGGAGGAGCCTCTGCCTCTGGAAACAGCCCGAGAGTCACCGAGCTTCAAGCTGGAGCCCATGGAGACTGAGCGAGGCCCTGGCCCCAGGCTGCAGGAGCTGCTAGGCCCCAGCCCCCAAAGGGACCCCCAGGCTGTAAAGGAGAGGGGTGAGGAACAGTCATCTGGGCAGGTGGGAGGGAGGAGGGGCTTTGGGGTTGCCCCTGACACCACAGGGTGTAGAACAGGTGCCAGGGAGGAGGACTTGGTGAAGTCGGAGTTCTGAGATACGGAACGAAGGACCTAGAAGTGCTGGTGGAGTTCTGGGGTGGGGGTGGGGGGCTCTCTCAGCAGCGCCCCTTGTACGCAGAACAGAGATTTAGAGCCCGCGGAATGATGGGGGTTCGGGCCCTGGGGCCCCAGGGAAGAGGGCCGCGTTCCCCTACTCTGCTATCTGTGGGTGAGCCTCTGCTGGCTGCTTCTGCTGGGCGCGGCGGAGCTGATACTGTGTTCTAATCACTGGTGGGCTGCCAAGGCTTGGGATCGCTGTTCTCATTGTGGTTTCCGTCCCCTTCAGCAGTATCTGCTCCCTGGCTTTCTCTCTTTCCTCATGAAGGGACCGCGGAAGACAAGGCGCTGACTGGGCCCCAGGTGATGTGGAAGCCCCCGTTCTCTTCTCCCAGCACCCTTCTTTCTTTGGGTGGGAAGGGTCCTTCTGCCACTAGGAGAATCCATTTTACATCACCACAAGTGTCTCCCTCGCTCGCTGTCTCTTCCGCCTTTCACTTGTAGGCCTGGCACCCTTCTTTCCCGAGACATGTGTTCTTGGTACCCCTGGGGTTGTCCCTTTAACCCGTGACTTTGCTTGAGGTGTTCTTGCTGTGTGAGGGGCTAAAAAAGACCTTGTGCTGTTCCAGTTGCCCGAGAGCTTGGAGAATGTGGCCGTGTACATCTCCCAGGAGGAGTGGGGGCGTCAGTGTCCACGCAGCAGAGCCCTCGCCAGTGACATGGCGCCGGAGAGCAGTGAGGCTGTGGGCTCGCTGGGTAAGGACTGACTTTCCTCTTTTCCTTCCTCCCTCCCCTTTTTTTTTTTCTTTTAAGATTTATTTGTTTGAAAGGCAGAGAGATAGAGATAGATCATCCATTGGCTGGTTCACTCCTCAAATGGCTACAACAGTCAGAGCTGGGCCCAGCAGAAGCCAGGAGCCAGGAACTCTGTCTCGGTCTCCCACACGGGTGGCAGGGGCTCAATTACACAAGGCATTATCTGTGGCTCTCGTAGGAAGCTGGATTGAAAGTGGAGCAGCCAGGACTCAAACCAGAGCTCTGATCTGGGGTGCTGGTGTCACAGGTGGCAGCATACCTCCCTGCACCACAGCAGTGGCACAGTTCTGTTCTGGGGATGAGGACTACATCATTCCCAGTCAAAGTCCCTTGAACACGCGCTTCCGGATATAACTCTGAGTTTTGCTAAGCAGTCTCCACAGAGCTCCCTTTGTCTCAGGGCACCTGTCCGAAGGCCAGTGCGACAACTGCACAGATGACACACTTAGAAGCAGCCCTGGATTCCAGCCCGTGCTGCCAGCGCATAAAGCAAGGAGACTGAGCCATAGTGGACTTCACAGAGCAGAGTCAACACAGTGAGCCCCTGCCCCGTCTCATGTGCTTCGTGTCTCAGGACTCCAGGGGCCTCTCTTCATTCCCTGTGCTTCATTCTCCTGTGCTTCATTAGTATTTGTATTTCTTTCCATAAAGACAAAGTTTCAGGACACAGGCATCAGCATTCCAATGTAGGCATAAAAATTTCATAGCCATAAAAATTCAGGAAAGAGCTGAATTTGGCATCAAAACATTCACTATTGTAATAGTAACAATAAAATGGGGGCTGGCACTATAACGTAATGGGTAAAGCCACTGTCTGCAGTGCCAGCATACCATATTGGCACCTGTTCGAGTCCCGGCTATTTTACTTCCAATCCAGCTCCCTGGTAATGTGCCTGGAAAAGCAGCAGAAGGTGGCCCAAGTGCTTGGGTCCCTGCACGTACGTGAGAGAGCTGGATGAAGCTCCTGGCTTTGGCCTGGCCCCCTTGGTGGTTGTAGCCATTTGGGGAATGAATCAGCAGGTGGAAGACTTCCCTCTCTATCTGCCTCTGCCTCTCCCTCTCTGTAAATTTGATTTCAAATAAATAAATTTTAAACAAAATGAACATAGCTGAGGGGTCACTTAGTCCCCAAAGAGTCAGTTCAATATTGAATTCACAAAGCCTTTGTAGAAATTCAGGAACAATGTATATATTGAAAATAGGCTAAATCGTAAAACTTAAGATGCATCTATATGTTGAAATATTACGCAGAAACTGAAAGCGATGCCTGTGAAATATAACAGACTTGTGGGTGAATTTACCTGGAGGGTTTCTTTTTTTTGACAGACAGAGTGGACAGTAAGAGAGAGAGAGAAAGGTCTTCCTTTACCTTTGGTTCACCCCCCCCCCCCCCCCAAATGGCTGCTGCGGCTGGCGCACAGCGCTGATCAGGAGCCAGGAGCCAGGAGCTTCTCCTGGTCTCCCATGCAGGTGCAGGGCCCAAGCACCTGGGCCATCCTCCACTGCCTTCCCGGGCCACAGCAGAGAGCTGGACTGGAAGAGGAGTGACCGGGACAGAATCTGGCGCCCCAACTGGGACTAGAACCCGGGGTGCTGGCGCCGCAGGTGGAGGATTAGCCTAGTGAGCCGCGGTGCCGACCATAGAGGGTTTCTACAGACAAGTGTTCGTTATGTAGTTCTCTCAGCTGTTCTGTATGTGTGAGCGTCTCATAACGAAACTTGGGGGAAGTGTCGGGAAGTGACGCAGAAGGAGACTGTAGCTCACAGTCGGGTGGACGCAGCCGTGCAGCTGAGCACACGCCAGCAGGAGGTCACACTGCACTTGTTTTCATCCATCAGGTTTGGGAACTCGTTTGCACTGACTGCTGAGTTCGGTGAATATTCCAAGTAATGCCGTCAGCCTTCCTGAGCGTCTGTGTGTCTGCACACTGAGGATGGGGAGCAAAACTGCATTGTTTGCTTTGCTTGGTGGAGGAGAGTGGTGACAAAGACATGTGTTTGTTTCCTTGTGAGCAGACCCTCACATTCCCCGCCAGGAGGCCTTAGACGCCCGCGTGGAAGAAGGAGGAAAGGTACGGGACTCCAGTCTCCGGAGCTGCAAGGAGGGCCTGAGCCCCAGCAGCCCAGCTCCAGGTAAGGCATGCAGTTGTGCAGCAGCCCAGTGAGACCTCTGAGGCTGAGAGACACATTGGAGAGTTTGGGTGCGGGCCAGCCCTCCACCAGTGCCGGGGCGCCCCTGGCTTCCTTGGTCCCCACTGGCCACGCTGTCCAGTGGGGCAAGTGAGGAAGCCCAGGTGCAGACTGCAAGGAGGCACTTCCTTTTGGGTTCACTTGCCCTGCCCTGCTCTCAGTCCTGCTCTGCCCTACCCATTCCTGCAGGGTAGAAGCCGGAGGCTCAGTAGGCCAGGGGCATGGCGGCACCAAGGATGGAATTCCAAGACTGGTCTGAGTGATTCCTTGAGCGCCGGCCCCACCCCCCTCTGCTTGCCTCTCTGGAGTGTTTGACCCGTAGAGAGAGAATGGGAAACTGAGGTAGATGTAGCCCTTCTGGGCTTCTGACCTAACATGCCAGGTAGATGGTTTGGATTTTTTTTCCAGTGTATAAATGATGTAGAGCGTTGGTTTTTCTCTCCCTACAGGGGAAGAGAAATTTGAGGACCCAGAAGAAAGTGCTCAGTTTAGTTCCCCTGTGAATTCACACTCTGAGGCACCGCCGTCTGGCCAGGCCAGAGGGGAGGTGCCCTGGAGTCCGGAGCCAGGAAGACCTCGGGACAGGGCAGAATGGCACTGGGAGCCTCCCTCAGAGGACAGAACAGAACAGACCCTGACAGGAGCCACAAGTTACAGAGAACTGGGGCGACCAAAGGAAGTGCCAAAGAAACTCCATTTATGTCCCTTGTGTGGCAAAAATTTCTCCAACAACTCAAACCTAATTAGGCACCAGAGAATACATGCGGCAGAGAGACTGTGTGTGGGTGTGGAGTGCAGTGACCTCTTTGGTGGGAACCCTCACTTCCTGTCACTACATAGAGCGCACCTCGGAGAGGAGGCCCACAAGTGCCTCGAATGCGGAAAGTGCTTCAGTCAGAATACTCACTTGACGCGCCACCAGCGCACGCACACGGGCGAGAAGCCCTATCAGTGTAACATTTGTGGAAAAAGCTTCTCTTGCAACTCCAACCTCCACAGGCACCAAAGAACGCACACAGGGGAGAAGCCGTACAAGTGCCCGGAGTGTGGGGAGATCTTCGCTCACAGCTCCAACCTCCTGCGGCACCAGAGGATTCACACAGGAGAGAGGCCTTACAAGTGTCCTGAGTGTGGGAAAAGTTTCTCGAGGAGTTCACACCTTGTTATTCATGAAAGAACTCATGAGAAAGAGAGACTGTACCCCTTCTCTGAGTGTGGGGAAGCCGTGAGTGACAGCGCCCCCTTCCTCCCAAACCACGGAACCCACAAGGCAGAGAAGAAACTCTTTGAATGTTTAACCTGTGGGAAAAGTTTCCGGCAAGGGATGCATCTCACAAGACATCAGAGAACGCACACGGGAGAGAAACCATACAAATGTACCCTTTGTGGGGAAAACTTCTCTCACAGATCTAACCTAATAAGGCACCAGAGAATTCACACGGGAGAAAAACCCTACACCTGTCATGAGTGTGGAGACAGTTTCTCTCACAGCTCCAATCGGATTCGTCACCTGAGAACCCATACAGGAGAGAGACCGTATAAATGTTCTGAATGTGGAGAAAGCTTCTCCCGGAGTTCACGCCTCATGAGTCATCAGAGAACTCACACCGGTTAGAAACAAGGAGGTTTCTCTCTGCCCCGGATAGGTGGCACACTCAGAGGGTCCTTCTTGTCCAAAATTGGCATTCCTTGCCCAGCTGCCCAAAAAATGCACCTGTGCATTTTTCAGGTAATTGCTACAAAAGGGAAATGGGGCTTGTTTTGAGGGAGGTGCAGGTGTTGAAAAGGGTTAGCATAAAACTGAAAAGGAGCTGTGTCTGTGGAGGGAAGGCTGAAAGGTTTTGAGGAGACCTGCTCCAAGCAGGGTCCCAGTTAAGTCTGTCCTGTCCCAAGGAGCACTCACTTTCTTGGTGTACTTAGCCAAGATGTGGTTTGGGTATCTCCCACCTGTGTCTGGTGTTTATCCCAACAGCTTTGGGGATCCATCTTTCGGTTACTACTTCCTGATTTGGGACATTCAGTAGGAGCACTTGGGCCCCTGTGGGCTTTGAGACCAGAGAAGTGGGGCCAAGTCTCCCGAGGAACCAGCTGGAAGTCAACTGAAGACTGGTTGTGACTTACAGCATCTCCAGAGGCCCCGGGCTGGGAGGCCGTGGGCTGTGTGGGTCAGCCACCACAGTCTGAAAGGGCACGTGGGCAGACCACACGTGCAGCAGTTACCTCAGACAAGAAGGAAGCAGAGGCCTAAGGGGAAAAGTAAGCTGGAACTTCTTGTTCCAGAAGTTGGCAGTGGAAATGTGTGTCTGATTATTCTACCCTTCGCAGAGATTGAGACTTTTCCCCACATCTGTCAGAAAAAGATAAGCAGAGGCTTGTTCCTGGGCAGAGTGTTCCGTGAGAGGTGAATTCAAAGGAGACTGAAAATATGCATCCTAGGGAAATTAGTGATTGTGTCCTCCTTTGTTGAAAATATGTTTGGATGGTAAATAAATATCTCCAGGAAACTTGGGTGGGTGTGTGTGACTCGTCACTGATTTGCTCCCCGTTGTTGGTCAGGGGACCTGCTTTCTCCCTGTAGGCTGTATTCATCCGGCAGGTTCTGACAGAGGTGGCAGGAGAGCGCCTGACAGAGGGTGTGGACCTGGACCTATGTGGTCACAGGATCAAGCCAGACAGCTACTTGGTAGTGTTAGGTTAGGAGCTCCGGAAAATACTCTTCCTTTCTGTGACATGCAGGAGTAAAAATGTTTCTGCTTTGTTTAGAGTGTTTATGCTCTTGTAATTGCTGAGAGAGATCTGTCTCTTCTGGTTTTTTATCTGGTTGGCAGAAAGTAATCTAAGATGGTACTGATATAACTGAGTTATTACTGCTGGTGGGGAGATGTAGGGGAGAGCAAAATTACTAGGGGGAAGCAGTATATTTTAAAATGAAGAACCAGGAATAGGAGTTCTAGAAGTCTGTACCTGTTGGGGAGAGACTACTGGAAGAACTCTAAGAAGGAGATCTGATGCCAGGAAAGCAGCGCAGGATTCGGGTCTGTTCTCGGGGAGAGAAAAAGGCAGTGAGGCAGTCCTTTGCTAGCGGGCTGTCACACACAGGGCCGGAGTGGCGGAAAGAGCCCTGTGTGCCCGTCCGTTCCTCCTCAGTCTTGCCTCAGCGCTGCCTCACTCGAGTGTGATTTTCCCTGTGGTTTTTCTGCGCCGATTTTTAAACTCTGTTTCCTGTAACAGCCCTTTTTCTTATCTGCCATATTCACAGCAGGAGGGGAATGGTAGTGTTGGGGTTGAGGCTCGGGGAAGGGGTGAGGATTAGAGATTAATGTGGGATCATCAGTGGTGGGAGCAGGACCAGGGTCCAATGGAGCAGGCAGGGTTGGCGTGGCTGCTGATGCTATGAATTGGGTGAAGTGGTGAAGCTGATGTTACCACTAAGCACCCCGGTCAAGATGGCCACTCATGCAGACGGTAAATTTCATCCTTTGCGCCTCTCCCCCAGCCCCTGCAACCAGCCCACTGCGTACCACCCTTGCAGGTCCTGTGATGTACTACAACTGGTGATTTTCTTAGAGCATTGCAGCCTGAAGCTACAACAGGGAGGCTGTCCCTCTACCCCTACCTTCAAGGTGTTTGTGCTGGGCACTAAAAAGACTCATAGAACTCTTCCGCCAGTCCCCAGTCTAACTCCCTCTAGCACACTCCATGGGCATACCTGTTACCAGCCATTTATTTATTTGCACTGTGGATGTTTATTTATTGGAAAGTCAGAATTAGAGGGGAAGAGATCATGATTTGCTGGTTTACTCTAAATGGCCACAATGGTCAGGGCTGAGCCAGGCTGAAGCCAAGAGCCAGGAGCTTCATGTGGGTCTCCCATGTGGGTGGCAGAGGCCGGAACACTTGGGCCATCTGCTGCTGCTTATCCCAGGCTGTTAGCAGGGAGCTGGATCAGAAGTAGAGCAGGGCCAGTGCTGTGGAGCAGAATAAGCCTCTGCCTGCAGTACTGGCATCCCATATGGGCACTGGTTCAAGTCCTAGCTGTACCACTTGCAATGCAGCTTCCTGCTAATGCTCTTGGAAAAGGAGCGGAGGATGGCCCAAGTAATTGGGCCCTGTACTCATGTGGGAAACCAAGAAGCTCCTGGCTCCTGGCTTCGGCCTGACCCAGCCCAGGTCGTTCCAGCCTTTTGGGGAGTGAACCAGTAGATGGAAGGTCTCTCTGCCTTTCAAATATACAAATAAATCTTAAAAAAAAAAAAAAAAAAAAGAGTAGCTGGGACACAAACCTTTGTTCATATGGGATGCTGGCATCACAGGTGGCAGCTTTACCCACCATGCCACAATGCCAGCTGCCTATTCTCAGCCTTCTAATGAGATGGTGTCACATAAAATATGCATGTAAAACATGCAGCACTCTGCCTGGCGTGTGGAAAGTACTCATTTGTGCCAACTGGACAGAAAAGCATCTAACACTGAGCTTAATCTGAGACTACATTGGCAGGGATTTCAGGGAGCCGGATTGATAACTTCTTCCCTTGTAGTCCCTTACTGCAGGCTCCCATGAGTCACTGTCTGCACTTCTGACATTCATACTTCTACAAGACATACTTTTTAAAAAAATGTTTATCTATTTGAAAGAGTTACAGAGAGAGAGAGAGGTTTTCCATCGGCTGGTTCATTCCCAGATGGGCACAGTGGCTGAAGCTGCGCTGATCCGAACCCAGGGGACAGGAGCTTTTTCTGGGTCTCCTGTGTGGGTTCAGGTGCCCAAGGACTTGGGCCATCTTCCACTGCTTTCCCAGGCCACAGCAGAGAGCTGGGTCAGAAGTGGAGCAGCCAGGATTCGAACTGGTGTCCATATGGGATGCCGGCACTGCAGGTGGCAGCTTTACCCGCTATGCCACAGTGCTGGCCCCAAGACATACTACATTTATACTCTTACCCTCTAGTCTTCTTGTAAAGGAAACAACAGATTTTAGCTGCCTCTTATGTCAAAGGGTGACCGACTCGAACAGTAAATCCAAGCTAGGTACGAAAGAGACGTGGCAGGTGTAGACTGATGGTAAGCCATGGGCACACATGTGACAAAGGTGATGCAAATTAGCAGAAAGGAAGGGTAGAGAATCTGCCACATTTAGGCAATGTGAAGAGGCCTTGCAGAGTCAGACTAAAAGTAGTAGTAGGCCAAGGGACAACGAGAATAGAGCCAGAGGTGGATGGAGACTGATGGAAGTATTCAGAAAGAATGTAGTCTGAACATTACAATCTGAAGTTTAGAATTTAAACTCAGCACCCTGTTGAGATGAGTTTACCACTGAAACTGGTAACAGCTTTTGTATGTGTAGAATCTCCACTGCTTGAAGACAAGTTTTTGAAACAAGCATTATAAAGAGGCAGCAGAATCAGCTAACAAGACTTCTTTGGGTGTCAGAATAGCAAGATAATTAGAGCAAAAAATGCATTTACTTGGAAGATTTTTCTTTTATCAGTCTAGCTTGCATGCACTTCTGATCAGAAATTGACTTCTGTTCTTCAAAGGGAGACTGGTATTTCCTTGTTATCGTATAATTTTTACCAAAAGGGGCCAAGTTGGCCCACGCTGCGGCTCATTTGGCTAATCCTCCGCCTGCAGCGCTGGCACCCTGGGTTCTAGTCCTGGTCAGGGCACTGGATTCTGTCCCGGTTGCCCCTCTTCCAGTCCAGCTCTCTGCTGTGGCCCGGGAAGGCAGTGGAGGATGGTCTGGGTGCTTGGGCCCTGCACCCACTTGGGAGACCAGGAGAAGCACCTGGCTCCTGGCTTCGGATCAGCACAGCTCTGGCCGTAGCACCCATTTGGGAGGTGAACCAATGGAAAAGGAAGACCTTTCTCTCTGTCTCTCTCTCACTGTCTAACTCTTCCTGTCCAAAAAAAAAAAAAAAAAAAAAGTTTAAACCACAAAATGGAGAATGCCTCCAAAACACTCATTAAGAAATTTAGTGGTTCACAAGCATCCAAACCCCGCTCCAGGGAGAGTAATACTCTGGTAGAGAGGATGAGAAGATTACTAAGAAGTACTTTGCTGGGGGCCAGTGCTGTGGCAAAGTGGGTTAAAGCCCCAGCCTGCAGTGCTGGCATCCCATATGGGTGCTGGTTCGAGTCCCAGCTGCTGCTCTTCCTATCCAGCTCTCTGCTGTGGCCTGGGAAAGCAGTAGGAGATG